GAAGGTATCCCGAAAAATAGGGCTGGTTACCCTGCTCAGTACTCTTCATGCATTAATATTCTGGGCAAATGTAGGATGTAAATATGTAATTATCTAATTATCTTCGTGTACGTATCAAACTGGGATTCAGAGAGACCAAGTAATTCAAATGTACACGGTTAGTCAGTAACACATCGGGACATACACCCAGTTTCCAAAGCTGTTTGCTGGGCCATAGGGCTGTTCTACACTTTGTAAGTTGATACTTTAATTTTTTTTAACGTTTTTATTCATTTTTTTTTGAGAAAGACAGAGCACAAGCAGGGAAGGGGCAGAGAGCGAGGAAGATACAGAATCTGAAGCAGGCATCAGGCTCTGAGCTGTCAGCACAGAGATCGATGCGGGGCTCGAAGTCACAAACTTCGAGATCATGACCTGAGCTGAAGTTGGCCGCTTAACCAACTGAGCCACCCAGGAGCCCCGGAAGTTGATAATTTAGTAGAGAAGCTATTTAAAATGAGGCAATTGGCTAAACAACCACTTTGTAAAAAAAAAAAATAATAATGGTTCCTATTTGTTGAGGACTGTATGCCGGGTACTGTGGGCGCTGGGCTAGCACTATCTCGTTGACTTTGTATGCTCGCCGTCATTTGCCACATAGGCAAACTGGGTACAGAGGCCCACTCTCTCTGACTGCAGAGTATGTGCCCTAGGTGGTCTGCCATGCTCTGCCAGCCATCATGCCAACCAATCAGGGTGCAAAGGGAATGAATCTAGTGCTCTCTAGGTGTTTACAGCCCACCAGGAGCTGTAAACCAATTCACCAACAAGCCATTTGACACTCAAGTGTCAGAGCTGCCTGGACCCAGTGGGGTCCACAGGAGACAGTGTCACTCCAACATCACTATACTAAGGTGACTTTGCTTTATTTAACAGGAAAACTCAAGCAGGAAGTGAAGAGAATCCTTATGCCTCTGTGGACTTGAGTAAAGGAGAAAACAATCCAGGGTTCCAACATGTTGATGATGCTCAGACTGCGTTTTAGGAAGATCTCTTTCCTCTTGAGGTGATTTTATTGTATGTAAATGTTAATTTTACAGCACTGACAATATGAGATTATAAAGATGTCATTAAATATCAAAACCATGGCTCTGCTCAGGAAGAGCTGTCCCAAGAAGACATGCCTGAAGAGAGGGCATCTTCACTTGCTTTCCGTACTTATGTCTGCCTCGGGATTTGACTTCTGTTTATATTTGAGAGTAATAGAGAAAATGGGTCCTTGGCCTCAGCAGCTGTTTGGGGGTAAGGGGTGTGGAAATGTCTGTTGTATGGCTGGAATTGAAAGAGAAAAATGGGCTGTTTGGGGGGAGCAAGTGTTAGGGCCTTGTATGGAATCTGGATGGATCACTTTTCGGGACAGTGTCTGCCAACTGGCGGAGCGGGGGATTGGAAATGACACACACTGTTCACTTTATTTCAAGTATAAAGGATGACACACTCTTTTCACATTAAGTTAATCTCAGTACCGTAGTGATTAGCCCACAGTGATGATTGGACTGGACCACGCGTTCTTTGGGATGACATGTCTAAAGAAGAGAAGGATCTAGAAAGCTGTTTACAGATGTGGCCTTCTTACTTCCAAGAGGCTTGCTCATCTCCCTGGCAAGAGAAAACTAGCTCCAAGGGCCTTCAGGAACCCCCCAGAGCACACCCGACAGAAATTCACTTCTGTTGTTCTCTGTGGAGCGACTAGAAATCTCAGGTGAATGTCATCCTCTGAAGTGGGTACCCAATCTCTTAAATCTTGTATTCACCCACAATGTCTGAGTAGTACTGAGCACAAAGCAGACAATCAATAAATACTAGATCCACACCGTGTGGTCTGACATGTCCGTATGTGCTGGGCTCCTTTGGATTCTGTCTGCGTTTCATTTCCATGGACAAAGTTGCCGTCTGACTCCCTGGGAAGACTTGACCTCTCAAATGTCTTGGAATGTTCCCCGATTTCTTAAATTGCTTTATTGTACAAACCAGCTATCAGATCAGTCTAGAAGGAGGTGTGTTAAGATGGTTTACACCATCAGATTAGGAACCAAGCCTGATACCCCTTTTCTTTGTCTCAGAACCCAGACCCATTCTGAGCACAGCCTCCACTACATACCTGAAGACTGATTCAAAATAGATTAAAATATCTAACCTCTACCCATCAACTCACTGCCTGTGGTGACCAGCATAATGTTAGAGGAATTTCTCACTTAATAAAGTCTATGGAGATAACGGTCACGGTGGATCTGTGAGCCAGGTCTAGGGAGGATGACCTTCTCTTCACTTCCAAGAGCATGTAGGCAGTGCCCTGGTTTAAAACAACAACAATAAATGCTAGCTATCACCACCAAATGTGGTTAAATAGCATTTTCAAAATGATGCATGTTTTCTGGGGTATAGATATTGTTCCCCTAGTTGACCCCTTCTAGCATCGCTGGGCTTACTTTCTTATAAACCTCTGTCTTCAAATCTTGCTTGACTTGCTTTTTGGAGCCAGGCTTCTGAGCAAGGCTTTGGCTCTTTTCATAGTAGACAATTCTGTATTGTTTGAATTTTTGCAATTAGCGTATATTACTTTTGTTATAAAAAGATTGTTTTTATTTTTATTTTTAAAAAATTTTTTGTCAATTATATTTTATTGTGTATTCAATGTTTTGTAACATACATACTATTATTTTTTTAATAGTTTATTGTCAAGTTGGTTTCCATATAACACCCAGTGCTCATCCCCACAAGTGCCCTCCTCCATGCCCATCACCCCCTTTCCCCTCTACCCCACTCCCATCAGCTCTCAGTTTGTTCTTGGCATTCAAGAGTCTCTCATGGTTTGCCTCTCTCTCTTTCCCCCACCATTTCCCTCCTTCTTCTCCCCCTTGTTCCTCAGTTAAGTTCCTCTTTATCCTCCTATACGTGCAAACATATGATATTTGTCCTTCTCTGCCTGACTTATTTCGCTCAGCATAACACCCTCAAGGTCCATCCATGTTGCTACACATGGCCACATGTCATTCTTTCTCATTGCCATGTAGTGTTCCATTGTATAAATATACCACATTTTCTTGATCCATTCGTCGTCCGTTGGTGGACACTTAGGCTCTTTCCATGGTTTGGCTATTGTTGAGAGTGCTGCTATGAACATTGGGGTCCATGTGCCCCTATGCACCAGCACTCCTGTGTCCCTTGGGTAAATTCCTAGCAGTGCTATTGCTGGGCCATAGGGGAGTTCTATTGTTGGTTTCCTGAGGAACCTCCACACTGTTTTCCAGAGGGGCTGCACCAGCTTACATTCCCACCACCAGTGTAGGAGGGGGCCCGTTTCTCCACATCCTCGCCACCATCTAGAGTCCTCTGATTTCCTCATTTTAGGCACTCTGACCGTTGTGAGGTGGTATCTCAGTGTGGTTTTGATCAGTATTTCCCTGATGAGGAGGGATGCTGAGCATCGTTTCATGTGTCTGTTGGCCATCTGGATCTCCTCTTTGGTGAAGTGTCTGTTCATGTCTTCTGCCCATTTCTTCACTGGGTTGTTTGTTTTTTGGGGGTGGAGTTTGGTGAGTTCCTTACAGATTTTGGATACTAGCTTTTTATCTGATATGTCATTTGCAACTATCTTTTTCCATTCAAAGGATTGTTTTTAAAAAACCAAATACATAAACATAAGGAGAAGAAGGGAAAACAGCCTTCAAGAGGGCCCGTTGAGGAACACGGGTTGTGTTACTTGTTCCTTCTTTTCCCTTGGGTAGGACAGGACATGCCACACGGTCCTTGTTAAAGAAATGTTCACTGAATGTATAAATGCCCTAGCGGTTATTTTTAAAGTTCCATCTCATTATAAATTGAGCTTTGTGCACCTCTGTAAAATGGTAGAAAGTGGCTATCAAAAGTCAGTTCTTCTGAAAATACAGGAAGCAGCATTTACATGTGAAGAAACAACCAAGAGGGATCATTGGAAAGACCTGGGAGGTGATGGAGTCAGTGGGATGAGAAAGAATATGAGTGTCTCTTAAGGGACATGGTGAGTGTACATCCGGGGAGTAGCAGCGGGGTGTAATGAGGTGTCTTTTCATTGTAATTGTGCCTCCACATAACTTTTCTCTTTCCCTCCTTGACGTTACAGAAAAGACAGTGAAGTAGTTCAAGAGAGATGAAAACCTGTGGGTTCAGCAGTAAGCCATGAAGGAGGGGATTCCCAGGAATAGTTTTATTTATTTATCTGTTTACTTCTATTTATTTTGAGAGAGAGAGAGAGAGCAAGCGGGTGACGGGCAGAGAGAAGGGGGGGAGACAGAATCCCCAGCAGGCTCCATGCTGTCAGCGAAGAGCCTGATGCAGGGCTTGAACTCATGAACCATGAGGAGATCATGACCTGAGCCAAAATCAAGAGTCGGACGCTTAACCAACTGAGCCAACCAAGTGCCCGCCACCCCCAGAATAGTTTTAAAGCAGAAGTACCTTTTGGCAATTGCCCATGAGAGACTGAAATAGTATTTCTGTCTCTTTGTGTCAAGATAGGAGACTGAAATAGACATTTCAGTTACCAAACTAGCCAGAAGCCCCAGAGCCCCAAATCTAAGGATTTAAAATGATTAGAAAGCAACAATCCATTCTAGAAATAAAACCATGCTTACACAGAATCAAAATAATAAGGAAGAAAGTTAAGGAAAAAGGCATCATATTTACCTTAGCATCTTTTAAAATGTGATCTTCATGGAATATTTAATGTATTCTTGAATAACATTAGTTTAGTTTTATATCTGCATGGCATTTAGACATGAGTGTTATATCTGCATGGCATTTAGACATGAGACAAAGAGTCATCGTTCTAATCTGGAAATCAGATGAGAGTTGGGTCATTTGGGTTGGATTCTGGACCACCTCGTGATGGCCCACCACATAAGGAGGTCCGCTAGGGCATTCTGGATGTCGTGCGAAAGTTTGACACCATTGGAACATGAAGGCACATGTCCACATTTTGGTACTCATTAGTAACATATTTAATTATGATAGTGACAATATAAGGAAAAGAACAAATATCCAACAAAGAACTTGTCAATTCCGTTCCATCTTTACACATGGTACGCACTCTATATCACAATCAGAAGATGTGCTTCGGCTACAGGCTGGGAAGTGTAATATCAAGAGCAGCATACACAAATTACTAATTTGACCTAAATTTCAAGGAAGCCTTTTGGCTTTTTACCTTGTTCATTTCTAGATAATATAACAAACAGCACACAGAAGACTATTAAGAACAACTAGCTGAATTACATTGTCTGTGCCTTGCTACTTTCCTTAAAAAGAATGAAAATGTTGGCCAGCGTTTACATTCATTCTCATCAGGTCTCCCGATTTCTTCTTCAGGGCTTGTCTTTTTCCCGCAGTGGTTCAATGGAAGATAGGAGTTGCTGAAATGTGGGGCGCTTTTCTGGAAGCTAAATAAAAGAAAAACCCAATGGCTTAGTTTATAAAAATTATGATTAAAAATAAAATATATAAGGGGCACCTGGGTGACTCAGTCAGTTAAGCGTCCGACTCTTGATTTATTTCAGTTCAGGTCATGGTCTCACGGTTTGTGAGATCAAGCCTGGCATCGGGCTCTGCACTGACAGCACGGGGCCTGCTTGGGATTCTGTCTCTCTGTCTCAAAATAAGCAAATGAACATTAATATATATAAGATATGTATATCTCAGTCCCAAAGCTAGTGACTTTTTTTTAATGTTTATTTTAATTATTTTTGAGAGGGAGAGAGAGACAGAACGTGAGTGGGGGGAGGGGAGGGGAGAGAGCAGAGAGCGAGAGGGAGACACAGAATCCGAAACAGGCTCCAGACTGTGCTGACAGCTCAGAGCCTGAAGCGGGGCTCGAACTTACAAAATGTGAGATCATGACCTGAGCCAAAGTCAGACACTTATCGACTCAGCCACCCAGGCGCCCCATAAAGCTAGTGACTTTTTAAGTGTGGAAACACGATGGACATTTCTACTAAAGACAAAATAACGAGAGCCCTAAGTATTAGAAAAGAAACAGTAAAACTATCTTCATTTGCATAAGATACGGTTGTGTGCCTGGAAAATCCAAGAGAATCAATCCTAGAACCAACTCAAGTGAAAGGAAGTCAGAAGAACAGGATGCAAATTAATATACAAAATCAGTAGCCTTCATGTATCTGGACAAGAACCAGCCAGAAGACGCAATGGAAGAGAACACTCCACTTACAATAGCAACAATACCAAAATAAAATACAAACAAAAATGTACCCCCCCATGAGGAAAACTTTAAACGCTGCTGAAAAACACAAATGTGGACTTGAGCACATAGAAAAACGTTGCTGGCTCTTGAAGAGGACAAACCGATATCACAGAGATGTGAAATTCCCCTAGTTAAAATATAAACTGAATGCCATCTCCTCCAAAATATGAACTAGCTTGTTTCAAGCTGAACAAATGAATTCTCTAGTTCATAGAGTTTTAAAGTATGGAAAAAGAACACCTGAAACTAACATGACACTGTGCGGTAGCTACACTGAAATTAAAATTTAAAAAAATTAATTAAGCGAAATTTAAAAACTGTATGCAAAAATAGCTAGGAAAGGTATTTATTTATTTTTTAATGTTTTATTTATTTCTGAGAGAGAGGGAGAGAGGAAGAGAGAGGCAGCGTGAGCAGGGGAGGGTCAGAGAGAGAGGGAGACACAGAATCTGAAACAGGCTCCAGGCTCTAAGCTAGCTGTCAGCACAGAGCCCGACGAGGGGCTCGAACCCACGAACCGTGAGATCATGACCTGAGCTGAAGTCGGACGCCCAACCAACTGAGCCACCCGGGTGCCCCAAGAAAGGTATTTAAAAAGACTAGCCATGACAGAGCGCTAGCCTACCTAGGAGTAAAGCGCATTTTAATGTCTGTATAAATTAAAACAATGCAGTGCTAGCAGGTTACTAGAGACCGGAGAACAGAAGAGAAAGTCCCCAAATAACCCCAAATACACATGGAAATTTCCTATGTTAGGGGATATTTGGACACCGTTAGATGGTCTTATCCCTGGGATGACATGGCCTTGTAATAAATGGGGTGCAGCAAGCCGGCAGTCATTTCGAAAATGAGATCTTTGGGGCCATTCTCTGTACCGTACACCGTAACAAACACCAACTAGACCAGAGATCTAAATGTAAAAAAATGAAACCATAAAAGTACTAGAGGAAAATCTGAGTGAATGCCATTAGGACTGGGGTGTGGGGAGACCTATAGGACTTTACCTCAGTTTCCAGAAGCAATAAAAGCAAATGCTGATTCGATTAACTATATTTAACAAATAAGTTTGCGTGGCAAAACCCACCATAAATTAAATCCAAAGATAAGTGACAACGTGGGAGGAAATATTTACAACTATCACAGATGAAGTACTTACCGCTTTCATTTATAAAGGGGTCTTTAAAATTGAGATGAGAGAAACAAAACACTTGATAGAGCAAAGGGAAAAGATATGACATATAATTCTCAGAAAGATACACCAATGCCCTTAAAAATATACCTCCCTTGTAATGAAAGATGTACAGATAAAAGCTGCACTAAATGCCATTTCTCATCTGTCAGATTGGCAGAAATCCAGAATGGTCTGTGTTGGCGAGATGGTGGGAAAACACACACATGGATAGAGGGGTAACACCTGCGGAGGGAATTTGCTCCTTATAAGAAAGTATGTGTTCACACACACGTACATGCTCATTGTTGTGCAAAGAAATATGGAAAAGATAAATTGGGATCTAATGAAAATTGTGAGCGTTCTTCTAAAAACTCTGAAATAAAATATTTAAAAAGTTGAGGACCAAAATGTACAAAGCGGTCACTATATGCAGAACCTTCAACTAGAAATTGACTCAGTGCAAACCCCTCTCCACGGACTCTGCCGCAATTTACACTTTCATGGACCAACTGGGGAAAGAAGGCGGTTTGCCGCTACCCAGGCCCCCCTGTCCATCCAGTGGTGTGGCCATATTCCCAGGAGCTGGGGGGGGGGGGGGCCAGGCGGGTTCGGGACGCCAACTCAAAACCCTGTCTGCTCCTCTCACCCATCTGATAGGTGACAGCAGTAAGGCAGCCTGGTTGGGGAACAGTGACAGGTCTCTAGCTCAATCCTGACCCCATCTGACCCTCTAGCGCTGCCTGAGGCTCTCAGCACTAAAGACACTCCGTTGGGGCTGAGGTGGGGTGGATGGGACAGCTTTATTCCAAGTGCTATAGGGTGGGAAAAGAGGAAGCGCCCACCTTCCAGGAGAGAATGTTAGGCTAAATGATACAATATTAGTACCCAATACTGTCAGCAACTCTTCCCAACGCGAGAAATGAGGAACTCTGTAAGTCGTGTGGGGCAATTTATTCCTGGCACCAAGTATAGTGGTTGGTGCACAGGGGCTCTGTAAATACACAACAGCCAACACACAGAGTACTTACTGTGTACCAGGCACTGCTCTAAGGACTTGACAGCATTAACTCATCCAATCCACGCAATAATCCTAGGAGTTAAGTGCTATTTTATGGTGAAGCACAGAGATGGCAGGAGGCTTATACAAGGTCACACAGCTAGTATTCAACCCAGACATTCCGGCTCCAGAGTCCACATGCTTAACCATGACACCAGTCTGCCTTTTCACCAGTAAATAGGTGAATAAATGAACGAATGAATACACAAATGTAGTATTATTTCTCTCGGTCAATGAGGCAGTACCATATAATGACTATGAGCTATTTTTAGATTAATGCTCTTAAAAGTCCCCTATTATTATGCACTCTTCAAAGTCTTCAATGGCTCTCCATTGCCTATAAAAAGCAAAACTCACCCTCCTCTCCCTGCTGTTCAGTCTGCAGGATCTGACTCAGACCTATTCTTCCAACGAACCCCCAGCCCTTCCAACACTAGGTACAGCCGGGCACGCCATGGCCTTGGGACCACCTCACCTTTGCTTCTGCAGGTCTCACCTGGACACCCTGTGACAGCGTCTCTACTCACCTAGCTATGGACTCTGCCGAGGTTTCCTGACTCGGCTCAGATAACGATGCCTCCAGGAAGCGGGTCTCCCTCTCCTTTGACCTCTTTCTGCACTTGCCTATGTTTGTATTTTGCACGTATAATTATAATCTGCTTGGTGTTTTCAGTTCTATAGTGTGTGTGTGTGTGTGTGTGTGTGTGTGTGTGTGTGTGTGAGAGAGAGAGAGAGAGAGAGAGAGAGCGCATGCGTATGTGTGTGTGGAAAGCCTGAGTTCAATGAGGACAGAGATGGAGCCTCGCACTTCCTTAACATCCACCCCCCCCCCTTAGTCCTATGGACATAGTAGGTGCTTTGTGAATCCATCTCCTGCCGTTTCAGCTCCTGTTTCCCGCAAACGATACTCTTATTCCCTAACTGCATGGAATGCTTCTAGTCTGTATGTGGGAGGCACGGGAAGAGAGGATGGAATGGTGTCCGTTGTGTGTTTGCTACACATGACCACATGTTCTCATGTTTTCTACTCGAGGAGAGACCCCACAGTGTTGTGGTTAAGAACAGGGACTCTGACACTAGCTGGCCTGCCTCTTGCTAGCTATGTGACCTCGACCAAGTCGCATAACCTCTCTGGGGCTCCATTTCCTCTTCTCGTAGGTTTGGACGTGGTAGTGCCTCCTTCATAGCGTGTTGCGTGATGAATAGATGAGTTCATGTTTACGAAGTTCTTAGAACAGTGCTGGCTAGAAGTTGTCAAATTGTTGGCACCTGCGTTGCTCGTTTTAAATTACAAACACTTGTGGGAAGGGGCCCAGGGCCGTCGCACCCGCTCTGCGGCAGGTGTTTTCCCTCAAAAATGCTTCGCCCCGTGGCGTCCCAGGCAGCCGCTCCGGGGGCACCCGACACGCCTTCCTCCTCCCCCACGCGGTGCACTTGCCTCGTGCCAGCAGCTGTACATGACCTGGTAGACGGTGTCTGACGCCAGTTGGGGGCGGTAGAGTCTGTGGCCCTGGGAGACCTTCACAACCACCTGGGAGTTGTCGTACAAGTCGTAGGGCTGCTTCCCCAGGCTGAACACTTCCCACATCAGGATCCCTGCAGCGCACGAAGGGCGACCAGCAGACGAAAAGGAAAGAGAGCTGATGTCAGAAGGTACAGAGTTTGCCAAACAGGCTTCACACCCCGGGTCAGGAAGGCCACGGGTCAGAGCGAGGGATCCCTGGGAAACAGGACAGGGTATGGAGGGTGCGACTGTGCCATCACTTCTGGAGCCCGGGGCCCCTTCTCCTGGCTCCCTGAGCCCCGGGCGCTTGTTCTTGCCGGTAAACAGGTCAATGGCAAGGGCGGCTGCAGCAGGAGTTCCTTAAGCTGGGATCTGGGACTACTTCAGGGAGGTGGCTGGGGCCTCCTTGTCCACCCCTCACCGTGACACCACCCCCACTCCTATCACCCCGCTCCAACCTGAAGGCGTGATTGAAGTCCTCGCCCTTTCTTTCTCTCTGCCTTGGCAGTTATGTGCAACAATCTCACTGCACAAATTACCTTCCCATGGAAATTCACAGATAAAACTGGACAGAATTGCTCTTTTTTGCCTTGGTGGTTCCTAAGATTTTGTGGGTCAGGTGGCCTTTTAAGAATCTGATTAAAAAAAAAACCATTGGTTCTCTCTTCGGAAGGCGACTGCACGGCATTTTTGTGTTCAGTTTTTGGGTGTTCACAGTGTGCTGAAGCCCATCCAAGGGCATTGCAGACTCCAGATTAAAAAACCGGGTTCTGGTCATGGTGGTCGATGGTGGCAGTTGGGTCTGTCAGATGTGGCCTTTGAGGCTCAGTTCTGCCATTCATAGGCCGGACAGGTTTCTTACCCATCCTCAGATCAGGTTCCCTGTCTACAGCACGTGGATATTTGCACATCACAGAGTTGCTATGAGCATGAAATAGGATAAAAAGTGCAGAGCACATGAAGTGCACCAGGACGCTTTAAAAGCTCTCTAAGTGGTGGCCAGTGTGCTGTCATCCTGATCAAACCAGAGAATTTCAACGGCCAGCTAGCTTCAAAACTTTGGCAAGCCCAAAATACGTAAAAAGGACGAAAATTATTCTAGAACCGTAACTAAAGTACTACAAAATTTCTTTGACTTTTAGGGCTATGGACTTTATGTAAAATATTTACAATAAGGCAATAGCACAAGTTGCCGTGGCTGTATTTTTGAAAATAGCCTTCTATAGCAACCATCCAAAAGTGTACAGCCCTTCACAGTTCTGTCTTTGGAAGGCTAGCCACTTATCCCCAAAATAACACCATTGCTTTAAATATCTGTGGGACCCCTTCTTTGAGAATTGCTTTCGGAAGTACTGGTTCATTTAGAACGTCCTCATTGGAGACAAATTACTTAAGAAAGGATTTCGTTTTTGGAAACAGCCAGAAAATATCTGGGGCCAACTCGTAGTCCATAGAGTGAGTCATTAGCAGGGTAATGCAGTTTTTGGGCCACAAACAAGCTATAACTATTGAGTAAGGATACTGATTTTTAAAAGTATCTTGGGGCGCCTGGGTGGCTTAGTCGGTTAAGCGTCCGACTTTCGCTTAGGTCATGATCTCGCGGTTCGTGGGTTCGAGCCCCGCGTCGGGCTCTGTGCTGACTGCCAGCTCAGAGCCTGGAGCCTGTTTCAGTCTGTGACTCCCTCTCTCTCTGACCCTCCCCTGCTCACGCTGTCTCTCTCTCTCTCTCTCCCCTAGAAATAAATAAAACATTAAAACAAATAATAAAAGTATCTTTCATAAGGCATATGGACACAAGGAGATTGACACTTATTTTCACAAGGTAATTGGCCCCAAAGGATATCAAGTAGCCACCACAACGCCATCTTTGTGGTTTTTCTTTTTTTCTGTGTACGTCAGATTATTTTTTTAAGTGAATGATACTCTGTTTACAAAAGTAATAGTTATTTTAAAAATTTGCGCCACCTAAAAAAATAAACGGCTAACGAAATTTTGTTATTCATGCGGTCTTTTGGAAGTCCTATAAAAAGGCAAATTACGCTTATGGACTCAAACAGACATGAAATGGGGCTCAGTTGCATTTAATACACCCATAACTTTATGATCGCTTGGATTATTTATCCTGGGCCCACCTGACAGTGATTGTAAACAGGCCTGACATTCCTGGCAATGTGGAAAGATCTCAGAAATCTACCAAATCACATCTTAAGAACTGTTTCTGTTTTCTAATTACCTTTAGTAAATTTCAGTAGAGATCTTTTACTAAAATAAGAGTCAGCAGGTCTTTTCTGTGTAGGGTCCCATAGCAAGTATTTAAACTTTGGAGGTCATGCAACAGGTATGACAGCCGCACCGCTCTGCTGTCGCAGTACAAAGCCAGAGACGATCCAGGACGGGACATGCATGGCTTGCTCCTGTAAAACTTCATTTACAGAAACAGGCCGCCAGATTTGGTCCTCGACCTAAGGATGACCCTCGACCTAAGGATGAATTTTAACAAGGACACTAGTTGAAATTAGCAAGGGCCAAAGAAAGCACTGAGCTGTGGTTGGCGTTTGCCCTGCGCATGCCCAAAGAGCAGGTCAAGTCAGAAAGGAGTGGCCGTCCTTGCCGCTTTCACGGGGAAAGTCGATGAGTGTATTTGAAGCCCTTCAATTTTGGACTCCATGCCAACCCGGTTTTAGTTTTCAATGATTCCTCTTTAAGGACTGTTAGAAATCGTCACTGGAAGAGCTTTTATCTCCCATGGTTTGGTACAAAGGTGCTAGCAGGGTGGAGATTTTTCTACAACTCGACTCGGGGCAGACGCCCTGCCCCTGCCCCAAGGCAAAAGGTCTTGGATCTCTTGCTTATCTCAGGCCATACAGGTGATTTCGCAAGCTCAGGCCTTTTTGCTAAAAATGGATGTTGCTGCGCTTGCGGTTTCCTGTTGTGGAAGCCAGCTTACGAAATGGGGCTGGGGCCCGCGTGGCCACCCGCTTACCGAATGCCCACACGTCTGACTTGCTGCTGTATTTGAAGTAGTGGAACACCTCTGGGGCTGACCACTTGACCGGAAATTTTGTTCCTACGGAGCTGACGTACTGGTCATCCAGAACATACCTGTGGGGGAAAAAAATCAACACAGACCTTAAGTCCCTGGGCCGTGCAAAATGAGAAGAACCCTGTGGGCTGCCATGGCCTCTGTGACAGTACGGGCTGATAAAGGTCACAGAGCCCTCACAGTCTCAGTGGAATGCCTCGGTTTTCTAGATCTTTTTCTTCCTTTCAATGTGTAACTTAGCTAAAGGCTGCTTATGACTTGGAAGCTTTAAAAAATTATATCTAACTTAGCAGATACCAAAATCAGAATGCAAAACATTTGCCAAGTATAGGAAAACACAGAAACGTAAGCATGAAATTACTCAGAATCTCACCCCAAAGATACTGTAAATCTTCCATTCAAGATACATTTTTGCTTGCATTTTCCAATCTTTTGTTCTATATATTTGAACAAAATTGGGTTTCTGTCATACTGCAGTTTGCTTTGTCCTTTAACAGCATATCAGCAATATCTTCCCTACGTGGTCACATTTTCTTCTGGGATATATTTGATGACTGAATAGTATTGCCTCTTATGGATTAACATCGTATGGTTTAACCTTGCAAATTGCTTCTAATCTCCTGTTATAAACAATGATGAATGATAATATCCTTTGGAGATATCAAGACCATAAAAATATATATTCAAGGCTATGCACTATATACTAGTGATAAAAATAGAAACATCCTCAATGTCCACACATTGAAGAGCAATTAAATATGATATGGCCCAGGGGCACCTGGGGGGCTCAGTCGGCTAAGCATCTGACTCTTGATTTCGGCTCAGGTCATGATCTCACGGTTCGTGAGTTTGAGCCCCGTGTCTGCACTGAGAGCGTGGAGCCTACTTGGGACTCTCTCTCTATCCCTCTCTCCCTACCCCACCCCCACTCATTCTCTCTCTCTCTCTCTCTCTCTCTCCCCCCCCAAAAATAAATAATCTTTAAAAATATGATACATTAATGCACTAAACCAGTATACAGCCATGTAAACAACAAGATAGCCCTATATTTACCAAAAGTTAAAAAATGCCCATGGAAAATGGGTACATGCAAAAGCAGGTATGTATAATATAATTCCATTAAAATTTTTAAAAATTCCACTGTAGTTAACATGCAGTGTTACATAGTTTCAGGTGTACGGTATAGTGATTTAACAGCTCCCTACAGCACTCAGGGCTCATCAGGATAAGTGTACTCTTGTTTTTTTAGAGTACAAATCATAGTTTATTGTACAAAATGAAGGCCTTCGTGTTTCATAGTTCACTAAGGCTAAACAAAGACCAGTGATTTTTTTAAATTGTTCACGAAAATTTCACTTTCACTCCCCCTCACCCCCAACTATTAAAATGGGCTGACCCAATGTTATCAAAACAAACACTATAAATAACACCAAGTCCTTGAAAGACCACTATCCCCTATGTTATTTCTTGGCATAGGTGATCTTCATTTCGTGGGAAGGCGTGACCTTAAATCCCTGTAAAGCATCCCTGGCGGCTCCAGCACGTCCGTCATTCTCAAATTCAACAAAAGCAATGTCATGCCTCCCAGGCATCAATCATACTTCCCTGAAACCAGGAAACTGATTAAACAGCATGGATAACATCATCTCATTCGTTTCTTCTGATAAATTATTAAGGAATAAAATATAGTTTGGAGGGTAATCAGGGACCCGAGGATTTGGTGTTGAATTTCCTTGGGTATCTGCTGCATTTGGTGTTCCCTGGCCAGGCTTTTTGTTGGTGGCCGTCGCAGTCTGTTCCACCGTTTTGGCTTTTTTCATAGGGTGGTCAGAGGCAGTCTGGGGAGATCCAGGCTTCTAATGCCCCGCTTCAGAGCACGTTCTGTATCTCCTCAATGCCTTCAATTCTGATGGCATTTAGGTGTGAATGGAGACCCCTCTTTCATCGCTTGCCTCTTTGGTTCTGGCTTACCTCGTCATCCCAAAGTCAGACACTTTCACGGAGAGATCACTGTCTACCAAGCAGTTCCGAGCCGCCTTGGGAGGAAACACAAAATTACCAAAGAGTTACAAGTGGCCAAGAACCTCCCGATCTCAGAATCCAACAGTTTCCTTCTCTTGGCGGAGTTCTCACCCCATCTGAGATCGGCCATCAAAACCCCGAATGTGGAGAAGCTGTCTTTTTTTCCTTTGCAGTTTTTCAAAACGAAAACGTGTGCCCCTAAGTATTTTCATGCAAGCAGCCATCCTTGTCAAACAGCATGAAAGGTGTCACATGTTAAACACAGAGCCTCAGCTTGTCAGCAAGAAGGGAAAAATTATTTCTGGGGGTTCCTTTTCCACCTCGGCGGTACCCTGCCTTAACAGGTGCTCCGAAGGCATGAATACTGTGCTCGCCTAGGTGCACGGCCAGTTCGCCGTTCAGAACACGCAGATCTCTAATGGTAAATACCCGTGCCTACCAAGCAAAACGTTCCCCCCACCCACCCTGACCCAAAGACACACACAGATTTCATTTCCTTCTGCTGTGGTATTTCTCAGTTATGGTCCTAACTGACTGCGTTAGCACTGAGCCCTTCCTGGAGTGAAGGTCAACTTGGATTGAATGGGTTCCAAGAAACACTAAATTGACCAAACTCTTTCCTTTGTATCCATTTTCCTCCACGCTACCTCACAGCTACATAAATCCTGATGGCTTCGTTCACTCTTTCAGTGCTGCCAATCTCTTATTTAGAAACTGTGGCTTTTACTACAAAAGTGTCATGTGCTTGAGCAAGTCACGAGTGAGCAAAGTAAACGTGGAGAGGCCCCTCCTTGTCGCCCTTCCCAGTGGCCCCATCGTGGGGGACCGTGGATCGCTTTGTTTCTCTGAGCGTCTGGTGGCTTTGCTTACCAAGTCCCTGTGTATGAATTGGTGGCTCTCCAGGAAGGCCATGCCCTCACACACATCATAGCACATTTCTAGGAGCTGAGAGGTTTCAAGTCCTTTCCCATGACTCTTCAGGTAATTAAGCAGGCAGCCATTGGTTATATATTCAGTCACTATGTATATAGGGTATCTCTTTGAACACACTCCGTAGAATTTCACCAGCTTGGGATGGCTGAGTTTCCTGGAAATGACAGATTTTCAAAGGTCAGTGCTGAATTTCCACACTCCATTTTCCAGATGTCCTGAAAAAGAGTCACTCTCAGGCTTTTGCTTGTTTTAATGTCTCCACTTCTACTCGAACAGAGAAAGAGAGTTTTGAAGTCCAAGAAAAAAAAGCCACCTCCTGTCATAGCAGAAGACGAAGGGTGTGGCAGAAAGGAAAACAGGTGCCAGGTTAGGGAAGTGAGATTAGGCATGGTTTTTTTCTTTCTTTTCTAAAGAATTCATTTTCTAGTATCAGTACATTATCTTTCAGTAATCAGTTTAGGGAACAGTAACTACATGACCCAGCACTTCTGGAAGGCCATGTGTCACGGTGTTCGTCCGCTTGTCCATGAAATTGATCAGTTTATGGGCTGATTCCTTAATGGTCTGATGTGTAAAGTAAATCTAAATCTAACATGTCGGTTTTAGAATTTTAAAATGAATGAGCATTTATTAAATAGTTACTTCCTTCTGTTTTTATGTCTGTTTATTTTTGACAGAGAGACAGACAGACAGTGAGTGGGGGACGGGCAGAGAGAGAGAGGGAGAGAAAATCCGAAGCAGGCTCCAGGCTCTGGGCTGTCAGCACAGAGCCAGACACGGGGCTCGAATTCACGAACCGTGAGAGCATGACCTGAGCTGAAGTTGGAAACTCAACCGACTGAGCCACTCAGGCGCCCCTATTTNTTTTATTTATTTATAGGAGAGAGAGAGAGAGAGACAGCGGAGCAGGGGAGGGTCAGAGAGAGAGGGAGTCACAGACTGAAACAGGCTCCAGGCTCTGAGCTGGCAGTCAGCACAGAGCCCGACGCGGGGCTCGAACCCACGAACCGCGAGATCATGACCTAAGCGAAAGTCGGACGCTTAACCGACTAAGCCACCCAGGCGCCCCTTATTTTCTTCCTTCTTAGTGTAACTATAGGGTCGTGCCTTAGGAGATTATTCAAGGTCATGAGCTCGGAGATGCCTCTTTCAGCTATTTTAGAGAATGGCATGGAGCTCCGTATTGCTTCCTTCAAAGGGAAGGCTAGTGTTGGGGCAAAAGTCCATCACCCGATAATAGCTATTCCTTGAGCAAATTCAGTCACTGACCATGGGGCACGTGATGGGAACACCATGTCGACTGATACTGCCCACACGATAGGCCTCAATTACCATCGCATCTGGGATGTAACATTTTCCCCTCAGGATACAGTTTGACCTCATTCTTTATGATCAGGTGATTTGTTAATGGCTCTTTATGATTCTGTGTGATTACCAGCCCTCCAACTGCAAAGACATATATTTTAAATTTATACCATGACACAGGGGTTACACCATGAGCCTAAGGACGTTTCTGCCAGATTTTTCTGTCCTACAAAAGGACCGAGACTCGCAGGCGCCGTGCCCGTGAAGCCAGCCCTAGGCGGAGGCCTGTGTTCGCGTAGTACCTCTGCTTCCAAACCAGCCTGCAGTTGTGGTCAAAGTGACTGTGCTGACTCTCCCGGCCTTTGCTCTTCATGAAAGAATGACTAAGGAAATGGACTCTGGAATGTCTGCCTGGGTTTGCATCTCTGCCTTGTCACTTTTACTAGCTTGGTGACCTTGGGCGCATTATGTAACCTTTCTGTGCGTCAGTTTCCTAGAAAACAAAGATAACAATGGTACATCCGTCCTAGGCTTCTCATGCGGATTGAAAATAGTCAGGTTTATAAAGCGCTCGGAGAAATGCCTGTAACCACCATACAAGTGTTTAAATTAAAATTTTTAAAAGTGTCATTAAAAACCAGGCCAGGATTTGTGATATCAACTATCCTTGACCAAAATCCTGCTGTGGCATTGTTTGTGTTGATTGGTCCCCTAAAGGTAGGATGACCAGCGGTCCCAGCCTGCCTGGGTCTGAGGAGTGTCCTGGATCATGGGGCTTTTGGTGCTGAAGCAGGAATGTCTCGACAAGCCGGGATGGCTGGTTCAAAGTCTGATTCACCATGTTTACAAGAAGAGATAGAATCATTAAAATAACTCTTTGTATTTACATTGATAAGAGAGAGAAGGGGGGGGGAGAAAGCGAGTTCAGAGAGAAAAAGAACACATCTGCACTGTTTTGGGAGCCAAGGCTCATTGGAAAGAGTATCTTCATTTAACAGATGAAGAGACAAGTAGGGTGGGAAAGGACTTTTGTCAGACTGTATTGAAGGTGCCAGAAAGGAAAAGCATATTGCCTGTAGGCCATTAGTTTTCGGTATTGCCTTAGTCCAACTCGAGGCTGCTACCCTTGGACATGTGCTTTACAGGGCCCCATCCTGTTCCTCATCCCACCACGCCCCTCCCCGAAGGATGAGGAGGCTAAAGAGCCAAAGAAATTTGCCTACGCAGAACCATGCTTCCCTGTTTCTTGATCACCATTGAGTATGAAGACTCTGGAATCCCCCGTCCTGAGGCCTCTTCCAGGACCTGTGGAGACTCTTCCTGGGCCAGTCCCCCTAAGAGGGAACCATGCTATTGGTGTGCCTGTCCCTAACCAACATCATTAGCTGATGGATAGTTGTTTGTGGGAGACACAGAGGAAGCTTGGATGTACTGAATGCTACGTCTACACGTGAGTACTGAGTACACTGCGGTGGACAGAGCTGGAGGTGGGAAGAGAAAGGAGAAGGGTAGAGTTGGGAGAGGTGATATGGACCAGGGGCTAGTTTCTCTAAAGAGTCTTGAGAATACTAAACTTGAATATGGCCTCTCAGGTTGTTATGAAGGTATACTTGTCAAAGGAGCGTAGAAGTGATTTCATTTAACGGTGTGTCAGCTTGATGTATAACTTCTAAATATACCTATGATATGTGGAGTCTTGCTTGAGGCCTTGTGAATGTTAGGGACAGACCTGTCAGCATGAATGTTCTCCCACCATAAGGGCCAAACTGCCATTCCTCAGAATGAACTTACATCATGGTCTGGGCCTCCTGGAAGAATTCATCTTCTGACATGGAGCCCTCCTTGATCATCTTAATGGCAACGTCATACTGTCCCTTCCATTTGCCCAGATGGACCACTCCAAACTGACCACTTCCTAGTTCCTTCAGGAGGGTAATCTCTTCTCTTTTCAGTTCCCATATTCCTAGCAAAGCAAGACAGACACTCTTGAGGATGAAAATAGAAGGCTTTGGGGCTGACAGCTTCCCAAGTAAGTGATTTCTTTTCCAGCGAGTTTCACATTGACAACATGAAGACAGTAAGGCCCTTTAAGTTGATCACTTAAAAAAAACAAACCCCTTAGCAATGTGGTTTTATGGCCACATCTGATGCCACCAGGACAATACCATTCACGGAGCAGCTACAGTTATTGACAAAAAGGCTTAGGACACTTTGCCAACTGGAGGCATCTTGGAAACACCTGGTGTCAAACGTGCTCGGAGCTCTTAACTTGGTTTAAAAAAAAAAATCACTACATTTTCTTATAAGGCAAACGAAACTGTGATCTGGGTGGATGTCCTTTTCCTAAATACACAAGGTTGAACACTGGCTCCCCTGCGCAGGCCCAGAATCCTGGAAGAAGGGACGGGCGATGAGGCTCGAGAGCTGACAATTGAGTCTAAGCAGAAGACACATTGGACAGTCTGTTTGGTAAGGCTGAGGGGGTTACAGGGTTTCCGAGTACAGAAAAGGTGGTTGGTTGGTTGGTTTGTTTGTTTTTAAGGAAAATGATCAAACATATTAGAGCTGAAGCCCTCCCTGGCATAACCTGAACGGGACCTTCTTCCAGTCTTCTCTCTTTTTTTTTTAGTGAATACATATATAATTTTTTTAACCAGAAATTGTGGAAAAGGGAGTTTAAGAGCTCAAGTGGGTATCCATACCATTTCCCAAGGACACGGAGCTGGGGACCTTGTTGGCCTTGGTCGACACAGGGTGGCGGAGTCGTGTGATCATGCCTGCAATGGAATCAGCACCGTGTCATCACACCACATCACACCACATCGCACCGGTTCACACCTCTGCCTGCGCTCTCTCCAGAGTAGCTGGAAAAGCACCGAGTTCGGAATGTCGTGACAGAGACAGGTGGCTCCATTCTGACCATATTCACCCTGTATTGGATGATTGGCTTGACTTGACTAATTAGCTCAATGTAAAAGCAAAGATTAAACGAGTAAAACAACTTTAGGCAATTCTAAAAAATCCCATAGAATTGGTTGCTTGATGGAATCATCCATTTAACAAATTTCCCATTTTTATTCTGCCTTTTATAGTCTTATATTTAAATACAGATACACATGGCATATATATTTGGTTAAAAAACTCCAAGCGGTATAGAAGGGCACAAAATAAAGAGCAAACCACTTGATTTTTAAAAATGGAACCTATTACTAAGTTGCATTAAATGGTCAAGTCATTTGAATTGCTTACATCAAGTAACGATAATGCTGGGTTAAAATAATCATAGTATTTACAGTGTTTTGAAAGAACTCATTCAAAAAAATGTTTCTTACTTAAATGTGTGATATTTTACAAGTCTTGGGAACTGTCACACATGTCCTTTTTCTCTCCTTCCTCTTTCTATATATTTTTTTATTAAAAAAATATTTTTTCAATGTTTATTTATTTTTGAGAGACAGCATGAGTGGGGGAGGGGCAAAGAGAGAAGGAGACACAGAATCTGAAGCAGGCTCCAGGCTCTGAGCTGTCAGCCCAGAGCCCGACGCAGGGCTCGAACCCACAAAATGTGAGATCATGACCTGAGCCGAAGTCAGATGCTTAACTGACTGAGCCACCCAGGCGCCCCTATATTTATTGACTTTTTATATGAGTGGTGTCCGAATGTTTTAAGTCCTGGGCCTTTAATTGGCAAAAAGATTAGCTCACTCCTCCAAAATATATACGTACTATGGCTGCTATATTGACACGTTACTTGACTCACAAAACCCACTCCCAATAGAAAACTTAAGGGAAAGAGATTTTTAGAAATATCTAAATAAACATTTTAATGTTTTCTTCCTATACCCTGTGGAGTTTCTTGTGCATCTTCTGGAGTGAAATCACTCTACTTGGAGATGTTTGTTTATACAGTACCTTTTCCAAAGGGTACTTGTTAGGTGCAGTTGAGGAAATTGGGACAAAGGAAAAATACAAGGGCCAAAATCAAAGCCAGGAGTGAGGCCAGGTCACCTGCGTGCATGTAATCTGCTCAGATAGACTTGCACACATCTGACGCTGAGCCCACAGCTTATTTTTACTCACTGTTGGAAATTGATCCAGTCATTGCCCATAAGTGGCACTAGTCTAGAAAAGACGGTTAGAGGAGATTTCCTTTTTTCAATTTCTTTTTTTCTAAGCTTGTTGAGATACTGTTGACATATGTAACATTAAGGTATGCCACATGATGATCTGACACGTGTATATGCTGTGAAATGATTACCCCACAGGGTGAGTCAACACTGCCGCTAGGAGGAATTTCTAGATACGTTTGCACTGGTCGATTAGGCAAAATCTAAAAACACTCAAAAGACCCAGTGTTGGTGAGGGTGAAGGAAATTACTGTTAGTGGGAGTGTACATCTCTGAAAAGCATTTGAAAATGTCTAAATTTTAAATGTTCTTAACCATTATCTTAGAAATTTCACTTCTAGGGAATTCGGCTACAGAAACACTAATACAGATACACAGAGCTATGTGTATAGGACTGTGCATTGAAACCATGAATTACAATGCAAAAATGCTGTATCAACTGTATACTAAAATTGATACAACTGATACAAAAATACTGTATCAACATAGGGTTAGGTGAATAAATTGTGGAGTAATTCTATAATAGAATCCTACATAGCTGTTAAGTAGACCAAAGTGAGCTATATCTATTTGCATGCAAAGATCACTAAGACATGTTGTGTAAAGAAAGCAAACTGATCAGGGAGCCTGGGTGGCTCAGTTGGTTAAGCCTCTGACTTTGGCTCAGGTCATGATCTCACAGTAGGTGAGTTTGAGCCCTGTGTTGGGCTCCGTGCTGACAGCTCAGAACCTGGAGCCTGCTTCAGATTCTGCATCTCCCTCTCTCTCTCCCCTCCTCTGCTCACATGCTTTCTCTCTCTCTCTCTAAAAAATAAACACTTTTTTTTTTTTTTTTTGCCTGGGTGGTTCAGTTGGTTAGGCGTTCAAGTTCAGCTCAGGTCATGATCTCACAGTTCGTGGGTTCCAACCCCGCGTCAGGCTCTGTGCTGATAGCTCAGAGCCCAGAGCTTGCTTCGAATTCTGTGTCTCCCTCTCTCTCTGCCCCTCCCCTGCTTGTGCTTCATCTCTCTCAAAAATAAAATAAAAACATTTTTAAAAAATTAGGAAAGCTGAAAAGTAGTGTGTGTGGAATGATCTCACCTCTGTACAATATAGTGTGTATACATACACATATAATTTATTTATATAAATAATAAATAATAGGGGCACCTGGGTGACTCAGTTGGTTAAGCATCCAACTTTGGCTCAGGTCATGATCTCGTAGTTTGTGAGTTTGAGCCCCTCATTGGGCTCTGTGCTGACAGCTCAGAGCCTGGAGCTTGCTTCAGATTCTGTGTCTCCCTCTCTCTCTGCCCCTCCCCTGCTCACACTCTGTCTCTCTCTCTCAAAAATAAACATTAAAAAATTGTATAATAAATAATAAGTGTTCATATCAGCATAGAAAAAAATTCTGTCAGAATAGACACCAACTTGTCCATGGAGGCTGTCGCTCCAATGGTAAACATTGCTATATTTGAAGTTTATAATCAACTTATTCCTATAAGCAGAACAAGACTGCAAATATCTTTGTAAAGAGAATCTCTAGCTTTTTTTTAAAGTTATTCATTTTTGAGAGACAGATAGAGAGAGAGAATGAGCAGAGGAGGGGCAGAGAGAACACAGAGCCCAATCTCATGAATCATGAGATTATGACCTGAGCAGAGATCAAGAGTCAGATGCTTAACCAACTGAGCCACCCAGGTGCCCTGAGAATCTCTACTTCTAAGTCACTCAACTTGCATTTTAGAGTATATGGTTTTTAGAGTTTTATGGCATTTTAGAGTATATGGTGCGATATTCCAGGAAACGTAGGCTAAAATCACAGCAGGTATATGGCTTGAGAGCATTTTTAAGCCTACTTTCATGGTTCCCGATATGATTAAGAACGTTAGGAGGATCAGCAGTATCCAAGACCATTGATATTTATCAACAAGGACCCACAAGAGAACAACTGAAATAAATTACCTGCCGAATTGTGCTGATGATAGTGAATAAGCTTTGGAATGGAATCAAAGCAGTAGTTTTCTGCCAGGTACAATTTGTTCTCAGCATTTGTGTGCACATGGTAATGCTTGACGGTTCCTTTTTTATCGCTGGTAAGGAAGAACAAATGGTAGAATGTTTTTAATTACCAATTGAAGCTTGATTAAACAATGGTTAAATCATTACTTCAGATGCATTGATTTTGACTAATCAGGAATCATATGCCTGTCTCGGGTTTTAGAGTATGGCCTAGCTGGGTTTCTTACCCAGTTCTACTGTTCGCTAGATACCTTGTCTGGCTGTTATAAAGATTGGGTGCAATCTGATATACAGCAATTTGCACTATGCTTGGTTCATAAGAAACTGTCCATAAATTGTTGTTGCTGTGATGCCAGCCTAGTTAAAATTGCACCTGTAAAAAGGAAAAACGGTGGTTTCTTGTTGCAAATGGCCACGTTGCTCTTGGTCTTAGCATGATGTTCACTCAAGCCCATTTATGATGTTTCACGAAAAGAAGGCTTCCATATTCATTAATCTGGATTATTTTCATTTGATTCCTTATCTATTTGCTGTGTTCTCTACCGGGCCACCTTCAAAAATAAATCTGGTGTCACGGATCTTGACTGGGGGGACTCCTGATGTCAGGTTCAGCTGGAGCTGCAGGGCCGGACGGTCTCAGAGCTCTTAATGCTCAGTGAACCAGATCTTCCCAGTTCCCACTGGCTTGGCTTTAGCCATGCCTCTTGGCGTGCAGCCTTGTACGTGAGATGGGCCAGGGATGGCTTCCTGCATTGGGAAATGCTGTGTGACTGCTTAGGGTACATCCTGGTCTCTCACATTGGAGATGGATACTTCATAACATTTTTCTCAAAATAAAATTACTTTTAATCACTTAATTATTACCACCCCCCCCCCCCCATGTAGGTACCAAGGGTAGGTACTGTATGTGGAGACAGCCCCAAGGCAGAGGGTCATGCAATCCAACCATCAAAAGAATATTTTTTCCAATGATCCTAATCTAGATTTGGCTAGATTCGGATCTCAGAACACTGGGGGTTCTCAACGTAGACACAGGAGTATGGCCAAAAGAACACGAACTCTACTGTTGAAGGCCTGACTTCACGTGGGTCACTTGTTAATTTTGTGGGTGTGTCTCCGTGAGTGCTTTTGGAACCTCAGACTTCTCATCTGTAAAATGGCCCAAATAAAAACAGTTTTCTGGATGATTCGAAGGAACAGAAGAGCTAACAGCCAATGGGGATGTGGCCTGTGAAACTCTGGCAGGGGGTCCCGTTGTGGGTGGTGGTGACTTATACAAAGCGCCTGTGGATGTCGTACATGCCCAAGCATTGGGGGCGGGGGAGTGGAGCACATAGAACAGCTGTAATAGTAATTGCTATTCATTTATTAAGTGCTCACTCTGTGCCAGGCAGTGTTGTGATCCAGTACATGAATTCACTCACTTCCTCCAGAGAACCCAATAGTCATTCTTATTTTTCCCTTTCACATGGGGAAGTTGAGGCACAGAGGTTAAGAAACTTGCTCGGTGTCACACAGCCTTGATGTGGTAGAGTCAGGAGTTGGACCCCAAGGCACAGCTTCCAACCAGAACTGTTAACCACGCAAAGAAGACCCTGGAAGGAAACTATCCGGGGAACACAGATACACCCATTCAACTTTCTGCCAGCTTTGCGCCCACTGGAAAGACTTACTGGAGACCAGACACTGGGGTAGGTCCCTTAGCTCAGTAGGTGGCTGGGGCCAAGAGTGTAGACAGGCTCCATTGCTATTTTTCTCTCTTTCTAGGCTTAGGGCCAAGTCAAGGGGAGTAGCCCGAGATGCCTTTACCAAACATTGACTGGCATCATTCCAGAGAACGACCTCTCAAAGTAGGGGGAAAAGGCAATGACAAATGGTCGCATTCAATAGAAATACTTTGATCCAAAATTCTAGGGTTTAAAGGTGGTGTCTTATCCCAAAATGTGACTAAATGGCCGGCATATTCAAAGGACATACCCAAAAGATAAAAGGAAGGAAGCCATGTCATACTTACTTCACAGCCTTGCTAAATAAGGACACTGTGTACATTCCCACCTGGCGGGAATTTCTAACCATAAATGCACCTTCTTTTCCCTGCAAAGGAAGGAAAGTGTGGAAGGAACAGAGAACATTTTCATTATTCTTGAAAACTATAGGTAGTAGGAAGATTGATCTTTTAGGTCCACGTTAAATGTCACTGACGGTACGGGTCATCCAACAGCTGGCACAGAAGGGGCCCCCCAGCTGAGCTTTCCTCCTCTCACTCAGCTCCGTTAAAGACCTACCCTGTGTACTCTGACTCTCCCTCTGCACTTAGTTTTTAACCCCCACTGGTAATTTTCTCTCTCTTTTTTTGAATGTTTGTTTATTTTTTTTTTAATGTTTTTTATTTATTTTTGAGAGTCAGAGACAGCGTGAGCAGGGGAGGGTCAGAGAGAGAGAGAGAGATACAGAATCTGAAACAGGCTCCAGGCTCTGAGCTAGCTGTCAGCACAGAGCCTGATGCGGGGCTCGAACCCACGAACTGTGAGATCATGACCTGAGTCGAAGTCGGATGCTTACCCAACTGAGCCACCCAGGCGCCCCTTAATGTTTGTTTATTTTTGAGAGAGAGAGAGAAAGACCGAGTGTGAGTGCAGAAGGGCAGAGAGAGAGGAAGGCACAGAATCCAAAGCAGGCTCCAGGCTCTGAGCTGTCAGCACAGAGCCTGACACGGGGCTCAAACTCGTGGACTATGAGATCACGACCTGAGCCACAGTCGGACACTTAACCAACCGAGCCGCCCAGGCGCCCCAATTTTCTCCATCTTGTATTTGAGCTAGTCTGATGTATCAGTCTTTCAGAAATAAAATATAAAGCCACATATCACCATATCATGCCCTTGGAAGGTATTAGAAAATCAGAGATGCAGAACAAATCCTTTGTTAAAGTCCCATGCTCAACTTGTCTTTCTTAATGACTTGCGCTAATTCTAAGCAGACCCGGATTCAGAAAGAGCAGATAATAACCTGTGAATGTGGCAGGATCCCCAGTTAGGCAGTGAGGCCACCACGTTCTCACTAGTACCCCTCAAGGAAACCACTGGTGTGCTTTATTAGATTGAACTGTATCAAAGCATCATTTTTGTAGGGCAAAAGAGTTTGCTCCTGGTAATTCCATGCCTTGAGTAACAAAATCAAGGAGACTTATTCCCTATTACGTCTGTTGCATTCTGGTTTAGGTGCTGATGAGCAGGGTCGGTGTTGCGCCAGACCGTTATATACATGGCCCCCAATAAATCCTGTCCCCTACTATGTAGCCCCTCCGGCAGGGAGGCTGGGCCGGGCCATGTGACACGCTCTGGCTAGTAGGGCAGTCGCAAGTGCGTGCAAAGCAGAAACTTTAAGTGCTTGCATTAAACTACAGAGCTTTCCTCTTCTGCCACTGCGTTGAGACCACGCGGGGAGGAAGCCCACGTTAGCCACGCGGAGCAGGACTGTGGCACCCCGATGACTGCCGCAGCCAAACCCACCCCTGCCCCATCCATCCACCAGCTACCTGCAGATACCTGAATGGCACTAAGCCAAAAAAAGCGTGAAAGCACCGAGGGCCCAGCGGACTCACCGAATGGTGGGGTGGCCAATCTGGTTTCAAACCACTGAATCTTGAAGTGGGTTGATCCACAGCAGCAGATAATGGAAACAGAGGAAGTGGCTAGATGCCAAGGGCCCGGTAACCCAGGGGCTGACCCCGCGATGACATGACTGTAACATTAGTGATCTGGTTTCTACGAGATGCGTGTCACCCTCTGGGCCCAGCAATAGAGAGGCTTAGAGGCTATTTCAAAAACTAGACTGTTTACCTTTTGTCTCAGTAACTGCTCAGATTGTGACCTGGAGATGTTTCCTGCAAACCAGCTGCAATGAGAAAGAGTCGCATAGTTGAGAGTCAGTGATTTTTAACTACATAACAGATGACTCCACTTTCTAGTGTGCAAAAGGGGGTGTCGGCCCTGATCAGGGGTTTCCAAACCTGATTGCTCCAGAGAATCACCCGAGGAGCTTTTCAAAAATACAGGTTCCTGAGTCTCCACCACCTAATTATGCTTGTGCGGTGGGGCCCACATATGTGCATTTTCACATGGGCTGGCACTGAGGACCAGATGGCCTCCTAGCTGGGCCCCAAGTTCTTTATTTCATTGTTTTAAGTGAAAGCCAGAGATTAGACCAATGAAGACTATCTCACTGGGAAAGTCAGGGTTGCCAAAGATGAAAGTTCCTGTCTTTCAACCGTATATTTTTCTTTTACATTTTTAAAAATATTTATTTCGTTATTTTGAGAGAGAGAGAGAGAGAGAGAGTGCACGGAGGAGGGGCAGAGAGAGGAGAGAGAGAATCCCAAGCAGGCTCTGTGCAGAGCCCAACTCAGGGCTCAGTCCTAGGAACGGTGAGATCATGATCTGGGCAGAAGCCAAGAGTCGGATGCTTCACCAACTGAGCCACCCAGGCGCCCCTCAACCCTATATTTTTCTTATAATAATCTGATAGAAGCACAATTTATTGCATCTATTTTCAAATCAAGTGCTTTTTTAACAAATCTCTTTATTTGCAGGATAGCAGTAGATAAGGCCCTGTGGTTATATTAAGACAGTAAGAGTTATAGCGACCGGAGAAAAAGATGCTATGGGTCAGCTGGGTGTAATCTTTAAATACTGCCTTTTTCACGAAGTTAGCCAAGTGCATCATGTCTTACTTTGTATGCAGATCTCAACAGTCCACAGAGTTGTTTCTCTTGTGAGATCAACGATGTCTGTAGTCTTTTGGCTTTGGCCAAAATGTCATACAAGGGAAACGAACAGGGTGTGATGGGGGATGGGGCATGGGTTTGGGGGCTCACAGGGACCCTCTGGTTAGAAAATGACACCTGAGGAGGAAATAAATACCTGAGAGTGAGGGTGTGCTGCAGGGGTGGGGGAGGGGTGTCAGCTGGTGGGCAGGCTAATGAAGTGGCAAGAGCCACCAGCCAGCTTGGAGGTCTGGGTTCTAGACGTAACTTACTAATAAGCGGTTGTACGGCTTTGGACAAGCCACTTAGCCTTTTCTGACCTTGGAATTACCCATTTGCAAAATTAGGGTGAGGGTTGAATTTGATAAGGGTAAGTCTCTTCTAAAAAAAAAAGGCTCTTCTAATTCTACCCTTATAGATCCTATGTAATTACAACTTGAGATATTAGCCAATCATTTTCTTATTACTTAGTATTTCAAACTAATCATAGGTCATCAAAAGTCTCCTCAGGGAATATGATCGAGGGTATATGCCTATGAGAGAGAGAGAAGACAGAAATGGTCAGGAATAAGGAGAGAGGCCTGGAGAAGCAAGGTGAGGTTGTGAAGAAGCCACGCCCTCCTGCCATAGACACTTGCCTGTGTCATAAGTTTGCTGAGGTCTGACTCTCTTGTTTAAAAAGGTTTCAGTATGTCAGTGTCAGCGACGCAGAGGCTTGGGCCTTGTCCTGAGGTGTGACTTTCCATCTAAACCTCAGTGACTCAGCCTTCAGTAGAACAGAATAGAATTGGCCATGAAGCTCTGGCCACAAAACAGATGCTTCAGGGCCACTGATACAGGGGAAAGCTGCGGGCACCAAGCGCAGTGAAGGAGGCTGAGCCCCAGATCACACAGCCCTCTGGTTCTGATTTCTCTTTCACTTTGAAGAGGGCAGGTCTTTCCTGATCATCTCCCCGATGCACACCTCTCATGCACCATTTGAATTGAGAAATGATGTGGACAGAGACTGTCTATATGGTCAGGTCAGGACTTTCCAAAGCAGATGGAAAACTTCCAATTCATCCAAATGCTAAAGACCAAAACCCACAATTAGAAGGTCACTCCCTTCGGTTGTTATTCGTCAGAGTGCTATTACCTTTGGCTAATTTTTGTGCTGGCGTTTCTCAGTCTTTTATGTCTTAGTTTGAATTACTCCATCAGAGGCTTTCCTGAGGGTGGATGTCAGGGAAGAAGGTAGGGATAAAGGGGAGCTAGAAGGTGGCGGAAAGGTCATGCTGTGGAGGGTTGAAGCATGCAGCATGTCTTCCCTAATGTGGCGCAGACGCCCAGGCCCAGGCTCGGTTGGAGGTAAGATGAAGAGTCGAAACAGTGACATGTGCTTCATAAAACCTCTCACTATACCTAGAGCCAATACGTCAGTGACATGACAGTACTCATACAAAGACAGAAGAACTGAAAACAATGTAATCCTGGGGCTCAAGCAACTGAGCCGCCATTGGGTAACAGGTGTCGCCATTGGGTAGCAGGCATCTAAGAGACGGATTCTGCCCTATCACTCCTGCCTCTCCTCAATGCCAATTTTAAATAAAGTTCAGGGTACTTATTTGTCCCTATGTGTAGAAGGATATTGTCTTAGATGTTGGAAATGACCTTAAGCGCCCCTCAGGCCAACCTGTCTCAGTATAGTTGGGGTGATCACACATTTGTATTCACCCAGAAGTGTCTGGTTTATGCCTGATGTCCACGTGCAATATTTTTTTTTAATGTTTACTTTTCAGAGAGAGAGAGAGAGAGAGAGTGAGCGAGCACGAGCATGAGCAGGGGAGGGGCAGAAAGAGGGGGAAACACAGAATCTGAAGCAGGCTCCAGGCTCTGAGCAGTGCTGAAAGCTCAGAGCCTGACATGGGGCTCCAACCCACGAATCGCGAGGTCATGACCTAAGCCAAAGTCGGACACTTATACAACTGAGCCACCCAGGTGCCCAGGTGCAATGTTTAATAGTGCACTCTTTCTCTGTCTACATGTCATACCTTGTATCTATGAAGACAAAGTGAAATGAAGAGGTCTCCAGGTATATGGTAAATCCAATGAATATGTAGAGCTAGGTTAGAGGGTCCAGACTGAGGAAAAATATTTCCCTTAGTAACAATTTGGTCATTATCACCTGGCCTCCAGATAAATGGCCCAGAACCTCACATGAGTTTACCCTTGTAAATACAGCTCCCCCCCCCACCCCACCCCCGCCACAAGCAAGTCCAAGCCATCTGCTTTAACACCTTTGAGGAAGAATAGAATAGAAACATCTATGTTAGTTTTAGAGTTATATAGAGGACTTTCAAAACTCACTCATAGTCATCCAGGTTTTCCTCTTCTTCAGACGAACTTGACTCAGGGACTCCCCTTAAGAAGGGAGAAAATGACATGAATGCAAAAAAAAAAAAAAAAAAAAAAAAACACCAAGAAATAATGCAATCACCTAAGCAGTGCAATATCAAATCCTGCCCTGCTTTCTGCCGTAAATAAAATGTAGTCTGTTAGGGTTCCCTCTCTGCACTTGGGAAAGTATCTGCAAAGTGAAGAGAGAATCACTCAGAAGGTGAGCTCGTGCCCAGTTTAATGAGAAAATGGCTCTTCGGTACAAGAGGCCACCAGGAATGTGGATTTGTTTGACTCTCTTGAAGAGCAGGCTCATGAAATAGATGAATGCCTTCGGGGGCAGCTGTAGTATAATATTAAAAAAAAAAAAGCATTCGGGTTGTACGGAGAGCAATTCTTAGAGAAGAGTTACTCAACTCTAGTGGTTTTCTCTCCCACTAGAGATGCCCAAGCCAGGTATCCCACTGTCCATGCTAACACCAGTGGATATCACCACCGATGGACGGGGAATATCAGCGTGAGGAAAGCTGTAACCCACGAGCCATCGATTTAGACCAGCTTGAGGGTTGAGAGGGGCAAAGTACGTGATTTTTTTTTTTTTTTTGGCTCGTATTTACCTTAAACATGAAGTCCAGTTGCAAAATGATTGCAAATTTGGTTAGTTTTCCTGCAAATGGAAGCAAATCCTAGGTGCAAAGGAATACCCGAATTTGATTTACCATGACATCTTTGAGGTGCTGTGATTTGCAACAGTCCTTTCCCTCTGGTTACCGCATGCAAAATCCTCACTGCTACAACAAAAGACACATTTCGTAAATTTAGGTTTATTTATAAAGGTTAAATGACACAAATAGTTTTGTTAGCTATCCTGCAGCTTCATTTAACATTTTGGCCTGTCCACTTCACTCGGTTTGGGAATTTAAGCTAATGAGTCATTTTCACATTTTCGTCCTTGCGGGGACCCCAGTAACAAGCAGTAGCTTGAGTGTTCCTAAACAAAAGAGAATTGTTAATAGAAAAGCTGGACTAATAAATCATCTCGACTGGGTTTGCCCTGATTTTCTTATAGGAACGCAAGCATTCGATCACTTACATATTTTAAAGTGTTATTTTCCTCTTGGCTGTTGCGATTGCAATTAGAAGCCTTGAAAATACTGAACTTCTAACTCCGTGTGGACACAGATGGACCTGCAGCATTTCATCACCCTCTGCCACCCCTCGTCTTCCCTCTTTCGTTTGGGGCAGTAAGCTGAGCACGAGGAAGTGCCTACCTCTCCAGGTCCAAAGGCTATTTTATTTGGAACGTGGGACCCATTTCCTGCTTGCCCTCAGATCTCAGACTCTTTTTCAAAACCACACTTCACAGTGACAAGCGCAGCCTTTTTTCTTCATCTCTTCATAAGACAACTCTTATTTTACTTTATTATTATTATTCTTTAAGTAGGCTCCGTGCCCAATGTGGGGCTTACTTCACAACCCTGCGATCAAGAGTCATGTGCTCTACTGACTGAGCCAAGCAGGTGCCCCAAAAAACTTATTTATTCATTTACTTATTTTTTACATCTAGTTGTTTTTGAGAGAGAGCACAAATTGGAGAGGGCCGGAGAGAGAAGGAGACACAGAATCCGAAGCAGGCTCCAGGCTCTGAGCTGTCAGCACAGAGCCTGACACAGGGCTCGAACCCACGAACCATGAGATCATGACCCGAGCCGAAGTCGAATGCTCAACTGACTGAGCCACCCAGGCGCCCCACACAAAACTTATTTTAAAGTGCTAAGCAACTTATTTAGCTTTTATGTTGTTTTTAAGAACACGTAGAGACTGTCCATCAATAGTATATCTCTTAGGTTTATCCATATATAATAGAATATGATACAGACATTCAAAATAATCAGGTAGGTGGCACAACAGTGTGAATGTATCTCACACCTCTGAACTGCCACTTAGAAATGATTAAGATGAGGGAGGTCCTGGGTGGCTCAGTCGGTTGGGCATCCGACTTTGGCTCAGGTCATGATCTCACTGCAGTTCATGAGTTTGAGCCCCCGCATCGGGCTCTGTGCTGCCAGCTCAGAGCCTGGAGCCTGCTTCATATTCTGTGTTTCCCTCTCTCTATTTCCCTTCCCCACTTGTGCTCTGTCCCTGTCTCTGTCTCTCTCTCAAAAATAAATAAACATTAAAAAATTTAAAAAAAAGAAATGATTAAGATGGTAAAGAGTATGTTATGTTTTACCACCATTCACTATTTTTTCAAATTAAAACTTAAGTACATCCTCATGTATTTAAATAGGAAAAAATGTCCAAGATGTGAAGTGAAAAGAGCAAGTGGCAGAGAAGACTGGCTGCATGGTACGAATCTGATTTTGTAATTCTCTATACACAGTAACATGTGCATACGGAACATTCTAGAGCGATGTACACTGGCTATTCTGCGATCTATCAATGCTCTAATGGAAACATGCATTATTTCACCACTCAGAAAAAAATAAAAAGCACCTCAGGTGAGGATAATTGACAAAAAGTATTATCTACTTACATGAGCCGAGAATCATGGCTGCATTTTAAGAATTCAGTCTCCATGAAGACCTTTTAGCAATTATCATCATTCACTCACCAATGTAATGCTACTCACACAAAGAAGTGATTAATCCATTCTTTGTTCAGATAACTAGCTTTCTCAAGTTCTAGGGAAAAATCCAAAGTCAAGGCAAAATCTTGGGGGCAAAATCTAAGGGGGTGTCAGAAAAACTCATCAGTCAAGATAAATGGTGTTTTCGTGAAATATTTTTAAATTTGTTTAATGTTTATTTTTGAGAGAGACAGAGCATGAGCAGGGGAGGGGCAGAGAGAGAGAGGGAGACACAGAATCCGAAGCAGGCCTCAGGCTCCGAGCTGTCAGTACAGAGCCCGACGCGGGGCTCGAACCCACGAACCGTGTGATCATGACCTGAGCCGAAGTCCGACGCTTAACTGACTGAGCCCCCCAGGTGCTTCATGAAATATTTATTTTTTATTTTTTATTTTTTTTTAATATTTTTATTTATTTCTAGGAGAGAGAGAGAGACAGCGTGAGCAGGGGAGGGTCAGAGAGAGAGGGAGTCACAGACTGAAACAGGCTCCAGGCTCTGAGCTGGCAGTCAGCACAGAGCCCGACGCGGGGCTCGAACCCACGAACCGCGAGATCATGACCTAAGTGAAAGTCGGACACTTAACCGACTAAGCCACCCAGGCGCCCCATGAAATATTTTTTTTAAATAAAAATTCATGCAAAAAAATCCATGGTGAACAGAATGTTCACTTTCACTGCACTCCTCCCTCAGCGAATCCCAGGGGCTTCCGGCAGCGAGGGGACCCGGCACAAAGTTGGTGTGACACCCAATCTGCTAGGATCTGAGTCTACTGATGGTCTCCTTCCACAGGAACACGGGGTTGCAGGCAGATACAGGTAACATGTCCCCTCGGGTCCCCGGCATAGATTAGTACACCTGGATTCTAGCTCCACTTTGAACCGAAAGGTACCACAACTTGCTAAGCCGAAAGCAACAGCAGGCATACACCCAAATTCTCTCAAGTTCTGTGCGGCCCGTGACTGTATTGTGGGTACAGTGAGGCATCTGCTTTAGATAAAAATGCTGCGGATGGAGAGAATTAAAAAAACCCAGAGCCCAAGGGAGACAGCAAAGAAAGGAGGTGCCCGGGGAGTCGGAAAGATGTTGTGTGTCTGTCGTTGTGTGGGGAGACAGACGTGGGTGCCCTGTGGGGACACTGATAACCGGCTAGGAGATGTCAGGGAACGCGGTGACAGGGAGGAAGTCCAAGGCAGCCAACAAGGAGCGATGCTCCTTGACTCGTTCTCTATTGTCATCTTGCGATTCAATTCAGTCTTTACTGAGCATCAAGGATGGGGCCGATTTGGTCCCAGACCCCGGCGAGATACACAGTTTAGGTGCTGCCTTTGAGGCAGTTTGAATTCTGCCCTTAGGTGGCAAATTTTGGTTTAAAAATGCCAGAAGACCCCAGGCACCGGGGCGGCTCAGTCAGCTAAGCGTCCGGCTCCTGATTTCAGCTCAAGTCATGATCTCAGGGTCTTGAGATCAAGTCCTTCATGGGGCTCTGCGCTGACAGCATGGAGCCTGCTTAGGATTCTCTCTCCCCCTCTCTCTCTCCCTCTCTCTCTCCCTCTCTCTGTCTCTGCACCTCTCCTGTTTGCATGCATGCGTGTGCTCTCTCAAAATAAATAAGCATGAAAAAAATTTTAAAAAACAAAAACATGAGAAGGCCGGTCATGTCAGGAGAGGTGGCGGCGTACATCCTGGGAGGGTGGCCGAGGCCTCGCCGGGGGGGGGGTGTTACTTGCCATCTGTAAGCATGGTACAAAAGTAAGCCCCCCCAAACTGTCTCCCGTACAGGATATATTTTACAAATTCCGAGTTCTGGCTCGTAAGGGAATTAGGGGGAAAGGAGGAGAGGAAGTGGAGGGAGTGAAATGCACAAGTATTGCGTAACTCACAGATGAGGTCACCTAAATGGAAGGTCTACGCTGTTCTGTCCCAGTGGGCCGCTGCCTCCCCAGGATCCCGGCTCAAGCACCGAGCCCAAGCTCAGCCAAGGGCCGCATGGACAGCTTTGAGGCCGGGGTCCGAGGCAGTGCGGCACCGTCTATCCTACGCGCGGGCAGCCGGACTAAAAGCTGAAGTTTACCTTTTCAGTTTCCTTACTTGCCACCAGTCAGGACAGTCTTCTCTTGGCAGAAGCTGCAAGCCGAGGTTTAGCTGGGAGCCATAGTTTTTCTTGGAGTCACTGTCATACTGGGCAGCAGTGGCACTTGAAGATGCTTCATTCATTTTGAAAATAGGAACCGCTCGAGGAATCTTCAGCTTTGGAGGACAAGACATTTTAATATATCGCCGTGAGCCACAGATTCGGGCCCTGGGAACTCACAGGTCCGGTACATCAGCTCTTAAAAAGGAAAGGAGGAGGGAAAGAAAGGAAAGAATGAAAGAAAAGGAAGGAAGGAAGGAACGAACGAACAAACGAAGGAAAGAAGGAAAGAAAAGAAGGAAGAAAGAAAAGAAAAGAAAAAGGAAAAAGAAAAGAAAAGAAAAAAGGGAAAAAGAAAAGAAAGGAAAGGCCAGTTCTAAGAATTGGCAAAGATATGCACGAAACAATTGGAAGGCTCATACTTTGCTGGCTGGAGTATGTAACCATTCTGAAGAGCTGTTTGCAAGATGGACTAAAGCTGGGCGTGCACATAGATCCAGAAAGTCTATCTGCACACCCAACGCTGAACTCCAAAGACATGTAAAAGAATGTTCATAGCAGAATTATTTCAATTAGATAAAAACTGGAAACGACCTAAATGCCCACTAAAAGGGTAAAAGAATGAAGATATTTTATGCTAAATAGAATGCTACCCTTCTGGCCCTGAAAATGGAGGGGAGGCCCAGAAACCAAGGAATGTAGGTAGTCTCTAGAAGCTGGAAAAGGCAAGGAGATACATTCCACCCCCCCCACCCCCACCCCCCGAAAGCCTGTAGAAGGACTACAACTGTGTGGGCCCATTGTATTTCAGACTTCTGACCTTCGGGACTTCAAGAGAACACATTTGTGTTGCTTTAAGTCACAAAATCTGTGGTAATTTTTACAGCAGCGATAAAACTAATACGGTGGTGTGTTCACACAGTAGAATTGGACACAGCAACAAGAATAACTACAACCATACCCTAAAGTCATTAAGACAGATAATAAACGACTATATACTTTAAGGCTCCATTTATATAAAGGTCAAAACCAAGCAAGTCATCTATGATGTTACAAGTCAAGCCAGTGATTCCTCTCAGTGGGATGTAGTGATCAAAAAGGAACATGATGGTAACCCTGGGATTCAGTTTGTGAAAAGGCATCAAGCTAAACGCGTAGGACTTGTATACTTTTCTAAGTGCATATTACACTTCAATTAAAACTTCACAGAACAACATGTAAGCTCTAAAGTTAAGTTTTCATACTTGTATTTTTACTTTTTTTTCAGGGATCGACATCCTGGAAATTTTGGTTATCCAGGACCCTGCTGTTTATGGGCCATGCCGCGGTTGTGTCCAGAGGTAAATGCAGTGGAAAGTTCCCTAAACGGAAATCTGACCAGACGGCTACAAAGGGGATGTTTAACGTTCTCAGCTCCGCAAAGTAAGTTCTCTCTTGAACGTTCTGATAAAAACAAAACAAAGGAAAGCATGCTTTGCATGGTAGTCTCTTGGATCCCTGAGCCCTGAGGGCAGCTTACAATCAAAACAGACTTAGAAACCCTTGGCCACTGATTTGCCGGACTGATAATCTTCATTCAGCACATTTCCCGAAGAATTCCTTGCCGGAGGTCAGATGCCATGGTTTCTGGCTCCTAAATTATCCCCTGCTTTTAGATTTGTTTAAAACAAATTGGATTGGATTGTAATTTGCGTGCCATAACATTCACCCTTTATAAGTGTAGAATTCAGTGACTTGTGGTAAGTCGGTCAAGTCGGACAACCACCACCCCGGTTGGGTCCTGGCACATCGCTGGCACTCCTGTGAGGCCCCTGTGCCCCTTAGCGGCCACTCCCCCTTTCCATCCCGGCCCCAGGCCACCACGCCTCAACCGTTCGTCCCTGTGTGTTTGCTTATTCTGGACGTAGCTCTTAGGTGTTTTATAAGGCCGTAATTTCCAGGCTTCGGGACGAGAGCATGCATCCAAACCAAAACAGCAGTGTTGCTGATAACGGAATAAAACCCTCAAGCCTTCACAACTGTGTTGCCTTCCTTGGGCTGCCGTAACAAATCAGGATGCATCTGGTGGATGAAAACAACAGAAATTTGTTCTCTCCCAGCTCTGGAGGCCCGGGGTCCACCAGCAAGGCTTCAACGTGGCTCTGCTTCCTTTAGAAGCAACTGACACAATTTGACCTACTCCGGTAACGGATTTCTTTCTGTCCTTCGTGTTGGTTCACAAAACTCCTATGGTTTTGACTTAGAAAGGGAGAAGTGTGTGTGAATGTGTGCAGCTGAAAATAAGTACCCAAGACGCCGGAGAGCTGATGGATGGGTAGGCACACTCCTTTACTTTGAGGACGGCTTCTAGAGAATCGTTGGGAAGAGGCCATTTTGCGTGTCCCCTGGCATGTGAGGGGGCTGTCCCCTGCCGGGGAAGCCTAAAAGCCGGAAGCTAAGGCTATGAACCCAGAAAGGCAGAGCAGAAGCAGAGCAGCAGTCTGTAGTGAGAGTGAGCCTCAGACAGTCTTCCTAACCAGAGCAGTCCACGTTTTTGTTTTCCTGTAGGCCGACTCCACCCTTGGGAGAGGGTTGGCTGGGAGCCATCTTGAAAGGACCCCTTGCCGAGATGGGCGCATTGGCTCAGCAGAAATGTGAGGACTAGAAACCCAAGAGCTAAGGGTCAAGACATTCCCTCTGTCATAAAATTCTGTTTGCATCTGCGCTCCAGTGGCAAGCCCACACAAGTTGCCCAGAGGCACCCCTGCCAAGTCACGATGGGATCAGGCACGTACGACTGGTTTGCATGAGACCACCCTCTTCCTGGGGCCCAACTGTGAAAGAGTCAGAAGTTTCAGCTTCTGCATGACCCTCGCCCAAAGCAGGCTGCCGGCAGATAGACATCTGACCTATGTGAAGGGGACAAGTTGTAACTTGGAATGTCTGCAGTCGTAGGATTGTAACATTGGAAGGGACAATTTAGAGGTTCTTCCCATGACTGTGAGTCATTGCGAAATTTTATTTTATTTTATTTTATTTATTAAAAAAATTTAAAAAACAAAAAAAATTTTTTTAATGTTTTACTTATCTCTAGGGGAGAGAGAGAGAGAGAGAGAGAGAGAGAGAGACAGCATGAGCAGGGGAGGGTCAGAGAGAGAGGGAGTCACAGACTGAAACAGGCTCCAGGCTCCGAGCCGGCAGCCAGCACAGAGCCCGACGCGGGGCTCGAACCCACGAACCGCGAGATCATGACCTGAGCGAAAGTCGGACGCTTAACCGACTAAGCCACCCAGGCGCCCCATTAAAAAAATTTTTTAATGTTTTTATTATTGAGACAGAAACAGAGCGTGAGTGGGGGAGGGGCAGAGAGAGAGGGAGACACAGAATCCGAAACCGGCTCCAGGCTCTGAGCTGTCCGCACAGAGCCTGATGCGGGCCTCGAACCCACAAACCGCGAGATCATGACCTGAGCCGAAGTCAGACGCTTAACCGACTGAGCCACCCAGGTGCCCCAGGAAATTTTATTTTAAATGAGAGTGACTGGAAAACTATGGAATCTCGGAGATTCTGTTCAGGGACAGAGAATAAAAAGCCCACCGAGTGGCTTTGAAGGGATAATGGAGGGAAAGAATTAGGTTAGTTTCTGCTTGTGCCCTATGGGATCTCATTCCTTCACTAGANGGGGGGGGGGGGGGGGGGGGGGGGGGGGAATGGCGGTAAGTAACAGCTGCCTGTTATATGTGATGCCGTCTTGAGGACTTCTCCCACATGCACCCATTTTTTGGTGACTCCTTATGAGAAAAGAGAAGGTTAGAAATAGAAGAGGCCCAGATATTAAATACAGCCATATAAAATGGTACAACGGCCCAATATTTGAACTTATCATTTGATACTGCCATTGCTATTGGCGACAACTCACGGTTTCCCTCCCTTTGCTGAGCCATCTGCATAAGGCCCATATTTTCTAGTCTTGAATCTGGCAACTCATGGTTTAGTTAATAGATCCTAACTATGCAAAAAAAATTTTTTTTAATTTTTTAATGTTTTATTTATTTCTAGGAGAGAGAGAGAGAGAGAGACCGTGTGAGCAGGGGAGGGTCAGAGAGAGAGGGAGTCACAGACTCTGAAACAGACTCCGGGCTCTGAGCTGGCAGTCAGCACAGAGCCCGACGCGGGGCTCGAACCCACGAACCGCGAGATCACGACCCAAGCGAAAGTCGGACGCTTAACCGACTAAGCCACCCAGGCGCCCCGCAAAAAATTTTTAAATGTTGACTTACCACTCTTTCTGGGAAGATGGGAGCTCTGTGTTTCTCTTCATGGGTTGTGACGTGCAGATCAGCATCTGAAAAGCAAAGCCAGGTAGTGTCAGAAGGAACTTTAAACAAAGCAGACATTTGGAGCGGTGTTGTTACTTTGCCAGGTAGCACCACCTCCAACACTCTCCCCCGCCTGTGGTGATCAGTGTTCTCCCCAAACAGAGAAAACATTCAAGTTCCTCTCAGTCCTTTAAACTATTAATTCATATCTCATTTCCACCCTGTATTTGAAATACAGATATCTAATCCCGTTGGCCACTACCTGTGAGGCTTTGGGTCAGAAGCCATGTCCGGTTCCTCTTCGATCGACTCGTACAAGATGCTTATAAGTAGCTGATTTGTAAGTGAACAAACCTATCCTATGCTTTCTTCATTTCTTATGGTAGTTGCTGGTTTCTCTTTCCACTTCCACGTGTGAGTAGGTGCCCTGGCCATGAGGGTGAAGCCGTCATGTGCCTTATAAGTAGAGTGGCCATGTGGTTTACTAACCAAGCTGGAACATTCCTTACAGGGATAGGTAGGTTTGAATAATTATGCCATGTCCCCAGCTGCAGAAGGAGACTGATCCAAACAAACTGGGGTGCATGGTAAACGTCCTTAGAGGCCATGTACCCCAGAAAAGGAGCGGTCTAGGGCATTTTGGAGACAGAAGGAAGCAAAGACTCTCACCTATTTCCTTCCTAGTAACTGCACCCAGGGGCCGCCCTGTAACTCAGCAGAGGAGGCCGATGCAGGAAGTTACACTTGGGCAAATAGACAACATCATAGCCACTCATGGGTTACAGCACCCGCGAATTCTGTAGTTTCCTTCGGAGGCTGGGAAAGAGTCTGTTGGACCCAGAACGCATGGCAGACGCCATCCAGGCAGAGCCTAGGAAGATAATCTGAAGGCAGTGCTCTCTCTGGCCTTTCTTCCTGCTTCTTCCCAGGGAGTTAGGGTACGATCAGAGCTAGAATCTGGCCTGCTGGGTAATGATGCCAGATCATGAACAGAATAAGTAGGGGACATAACTAATGCTGTAAAGAAACATTATTCCTTAGTCCCTTACAGTGGAGGGAGGATCCATAGACAATGATTTCTATATAGTTCATTAAATCACTATCATCAGTGAGTATAAAGGACAATGTGGTATACTTAAGATTGATAAATGTTCGTTGTGAAGTCTCATTAAGATGGAGAACACAATGAACATGTATTCATTGATTTTGTTGCCAAATTACTTGTAATACCATCGATGCGACTGTCCACTGCGAATACTATCATGGAATGAATTTGAATAATAACTCATGTCCTTGTGTGTCTTACAGTTCATGAAGTGGTGTCACACCGCTGATCTCATTCAGTTCGTTCAAGTTATTATCTAAGCATGTTTTGTCCAGGCTGGTGAAACCGTTCCCAGAATAAGTTCTCCTTTTTAGTTTATTAGCAACTTAATATTGGTAAACAAGGATAAACATCTAAAATACGTGGGACTGTCTCCCATAAGTATCCTGGGACACTTATGTGATGGGACCCCATATGGGTACAAGCAGGAAACAACTAATTCTTTCCCTCTGTTAGCCCTTCAAACCCACTGGGGGGCGGGGGGGGGGGCTTTCTTTTCTATCCCCAGATAAAGCCTCACAGATTTCCTTAGGAATATAACTCTGGATAGAATCCGATTGCACTTAAGGCAAACCCTTCACTACCTTCTGTGATGTTAGTAAGAAATCAATAAACATGTACCGAAATGGCAAATCCTTTAAATATGCCTTTTAAAATTTGGCTGTCCATCATTTTGATATATATGGTATATAAATTTGATCCTTTGGCATATTTTTTTTTAAAAGAATGGTGGCTTTTGGTTTATTAGGTTATGAACCACGGTGATATGGAATGAATTAAACGGCTCCTTGCTGCGTTCGTGATTCCAATTTAAAAAAGTTATTTCTCATGAAATGAAAGGGTGCCCGATGTTAATGTTGTTATTATCTTGACGAACGTGACTCCGTCGACCCTAGAGTTAGACTTCATCTGCCCGCTAGCATTTTCGAGGCTGGATTTTCATGATCTCGACCCAATGTGGCACCTCTTGTTTTCCCGAACTTGGTGAGCAATTCTGGAACTTGGCAGATTTGCCTAATGGGGCACCATCCACCCAGGGTGCAGCCCAACCAAAGGGTCACATTACATGCTTCCCAGAGGGTACATCCTGGGGCCGCTTTGCAGCTCTGCTGACAGCACAGGAACTTTCCATCCACGAAGAACCCACTGTGGTACTTGATCAGCAGGTGGGGGTTGCCCTTTATCTCTGTGGAACAGGCAGGAAGAAAACACAGCATGAGCAAACGTTGGCCCGAAAGAAGAAACACGCTCAGCAAGTGCTGTTATCACAGAACAATGAAAACCTTATTTTGCCAGCAACCAGGGTAAGAGCAAATGGTTCCCCAAGGATATATCTTTCACTCAGAAGTTAACAAGCCAAAAAAAACAAACAACAACAACAAAAAAAACCCAAAAACTTGAACCTGGCATATAGTGAGGAAAATACAATAACTTCTATCAGTCTTACCCCAAAACTAGGAAATGTATCTACAGATCAACTTGGTGACCTAGGGTGTTAGAAATACCTCCGTAAAGGTAGTGAGGGGGTTATGGTACATGGTGTTCTCTTGTTGTAGACGGAAGCTGGAGGATAGGACCAAATCTTAGCAAGGAGGGAAGAAGGTTCTAATGAACATGTACTTCCCCCCACTCTTCATTTTGAAACATTTCAAACATGCAGATGAGTTTGAGGACTGGTACAATGGATGTCCATATGCCCTTCACCCAGGTTCATCAATTTTTAACTGTTTGCCACCTTTGCTTTATCTTTCTCGCTGTACATACACATTATTATCATTAAAAACGTTTATTATGTTTTGTTAACCATTTGAGAATACGCTGCAGATATCATGGCCTAAAAAATATCACCCATAAATACTTCAGCAGGTAACTTCTGTTAGCAGGGGCAGTCTCTTACATGACCACAATACAATTATCAAGTTCAGGAAGCTTAACGTGACACAAGACTATTACTGACTATTTTATATTCAATATTGTTCCAACTGTCCCAATAATACCCTTTATAGTTATTCACTAGTTTTCCTTGATCTGGAACCATCCCTTATCCCTGCTTTGTCTTTCATGACTTTGACTCGTTTACACTACAGAAGAGATGGTTTGTGGGGCTACTTTTCTAGGAATATGTGCATATTAAAATATATATATATGGGAGTAGGGCAATGTTTAATCCAAAGAAGTGAAATTCTAATACTGGAGTAGGATACCATGTCTACACCATATTAGCCTCTCTCGAAACACAGCAGAGAAACCCACAGGGCCTTAGTAGAGAACAGTTCGAGAAGGGTCTCTAGGCGGGGAGGGCTGCTGCTACACGGGACTTTAATCCTTTTCCTCTTGATTTTACATTCATCTTAAGGATTCCTTATTTGCTGCGAGTTCTGCCTCCTGCTTTAGAACCCTGATTCAAGGAAGTGTTTGGAGATCATCCAGGCTTTATGTATCCAATCTTTATGCAGCCAGTACAGAGTTTGGCTCAGAGTAGGTGTCTCAGTGAACAGTGGGCTTTAGTGTCATCCATCATTCCCCTAGTTTAGCTCGGCTCAGCTCAGCTTAGCTGAAAGCACTGGCATTAAAAAAAAAAACACAAAAAAAAAAAAACAAAAAACTTTACTAAATATTAATGGGAACTAAAGGGAAATTATTACAGAAGTCATGAAAAGCAAAAGGGGTTACGATTACAATACACTAGGGGTGCCTGGGCGGCTCAGTCGGTTAAGCATCGGACTCTTGATTTCGGCTTAGGTCATGATCTCACGGTCATGGGATCGAGCCCTGGGTTGCGCTCCACGCTGAGCATGGAGCCTGCTTGGGATTCTGTGTCTCCCTCTCGCTCTGCCCCTCCCCTACACTTGTGCGCTCTCTCCCTCTCTCTCTCTCTTTCTCTCTCAAAATAAATAAATAAACATTAAAAAATAAGATTGCCACACACTGGTTTCTGACCTTGGTCCCAAATGGCCATTGCAATTCCTTGGGCACATTACTTGCCTTCATGCTCTCCAAGCTCTTGCTGCCCCCACCCCCACCTCCCGGGGCCAGGATTCCTGTTATTTCCTACTGCACGAATTTCATTTCCTGGGTAACTGACTCTTTTCCAACAGAGCCCAAAAGTCCATGGTGTGACAATCCCACCGTTTAATAATGACAAGAAGAGGAACTCATGCACGTTAACATGTACATAGGAGTTTCCATACTTCCCCTCACATGTATCGTTTTGTTGAAGCTACTCAACAGCCTTGCAGACATCTGTTCTTGTCCTGACATTTACAGAGACAGGTCCGCTGAGGGGCAGGGAGGTGCTGTACTCGCTCAAATTCACAGGCCTAGCAAGTAGCATACCTGAGACTCAGCCCCAAGCCTTTTCTACTGGGGTCCGATGCACAGACACCAGTTCCCCTGGTACCCCTCTTCCGTTTTCATTTTTTGCAAAGGACATGCTTTCTTCACATCTGGTCAGCTGAATTCAGAACCGTGGTGGCTGACGCTCCCTGAGTCCCCACTCAGTCAGCCAAACCTCCCGACTATAGGTTACCATCTGGAAAATTCTAAGTCTCCAGCGCCACCTCGGTTTACAGTGCCTGAGCTAAATACTAGACAAGAAGACTTCATAGGGGAGAGCATTTATGTGAAGAAACTTCTTTGTTTTCCTGTGGCCGGTTGGCCAGCCTGACAGCTGATACCATCCTCCTCTCTTGTTTCCTTCAACCAGACGGCCAGTGTCACCCACTTGCTCTTCCTGTTTTCCAGCATAAAGGCTGGAAAGCCCAGATACCGTCTTCCAGCCTCCCTTGCACATAGAGATGGCCGCTAGACACAGTTCTGGCCAGTAAGACACACGCAGCAGTTTGCAGGGGACGCTTCTAGAAAAGCTCAGAGCCTCCCCGAACCTTTCCCAGGTGGCAGAGCAGAAAGCTAGGAGGGGCCAGGGTCTCCACCGGACTTGCCTGGGCTGCTGCACCGGCCCTGGGCCATTTCCCTCTGGACTTATTAACCGTGTGAGGGGAACAGATGTGCGTTTGTCTCAGCAAGCATCCAGTGTCGTCTTCTTCTTTTTTTTTTTTTTAAATGTTTATTTATTTCTTTTGAGAGAAAGAGAGAGGGAGGGAAGGGAGTGGGGAAAGAGAAAATCCCAAGCAGGCTTGACGCTGCCAGCACAGAGCCTGATGCAGGGCTCGAACCCATGAAACATGAGATCACCACCTGAGCCAAAATCATGAGTTGGAGGATTGACTGACTGAGCTACCCACGTGTCCCTGTTTAGTGCCTTTTTACCTGCACCTCCTGGCGTCACTAACTGATACAAATGGCTTACGGTGTGTATGTGGCGGCCTCAGTGACAGTGCCCCCCTGAAGTTCTGTGAGGGGCTGAGATTCACCTTTGTTTCTCTGTCTCTTCTTTCCTTTCTTTTCCATCTGCCTTTACCCGAGCTTCGCATGGCCAAACCCAAAGCTGCCTGCCATATACAGTTCCAGAAGGACCCACAAAGGACTCTAGGACATCACTGATAGCTGCACTCAGAAGGTGTCTACAGAGCAACTACTCCTAGGAAGTCCTCCCACACAAAGGAGATTGAATGGGAAGCAGCATCTCAGACTCCTCCTGGGGGCCCCACTGTAACCACAGGGACTCACGCGCGTGTGTGTGTGTGTAGGATACTCTAGTGTATATGTGAGTCATTCGTTTGTGGCTCACGATCACACAAGGGAAAAAGGAATACGATCTCCCATGTTACAGGTTGGGAAACTGAGATCCAGAGACGTGAGATGGCTTTATTAGGTGACGGAGCAAAGCAGGAAGGACTTGGATATGGATTTGTCTTTCTCTAAGAGGGATGCCCTTCTCACTTCAGCAAGCTGGTAGTGGGCAAAGCGAGGTTTCTCCCCTCCCTGGACCCCTTGACTGTCCAACAGAACAGGTGGCTAAACCCTTTCATGCAAAGGGAAAGTAAGTCCTGTGTGCGGGGGGGGGAACAAAAAGGACATATTTGCACCAAAGTAGAGTCGGTGGTTGTCTAAAGTGGTATAATTTGAAGTATATGGAGAAAGAACCCGCATCTAAAACTTAAATGGATTAGAACAGGACTTCCCCGGGGGCTTAGTACCTGAAATCACACTAATAGCATCATTCATTTGAGTTATAGACCATCCTCACACTATGACCTACCTTTAAAATAAAAATATTACAGGGAAAAATATGACTGCATGAGATTACTAACAATTTTCTCTCTTCTGCCATAGAGCAGCCTGAGAATCCCTGAGTAAAAGCTTCATCAAATCCCCAGTTTTGCCTAGCATTTCGGCCGCCCTGGTCAAAAAGCTGGGATTGGGCCACCGAGTTAGGAGTTCTCCATTATTAGGTATGGGGCACCGGCCATGTCTCTTTAATTCCACTCATCTGAGAAAGGGAGAATAATCCTACCCCTTTCCATAGAGAGGGTTACTTAAGAAAATATATTTTTTTTAATGTTTTATTTATTTCTAGGAGAGAGAGAGAGAGAGAGAGAGAGAGAGAGAGAGACAGCGTGAGCAGGGGAGGGTCAGAGAGAGAGGGAGTCACAGACTGAAACAGGCTCCAGGCTCCGAGCTGGCAGTCAGCACAGAGCCCGACGCGGGGCTCGAACCCACGAACCGCGAGATCATGACCTAAGCGAAAGTCGGACGCTTAACCGACTAAGCCACCCAGGCGCCCCACTTAAGAAAATATTTTACAGCGTACTTGGCACGGTGGTTGGCACGTGGCTGAGTACCTGGTAAGTATTAGATATAACTTTCTGTAAACATCCAAAGTACAGTAGCCACAGGCCCCGCGAGAACCTAGACTTTGCCCTGGTAAAGGCACAGCGGGTGGAGAGCAGGTGGTCTGGCTGCGTTCGCGCCACTGGGAAGGCACAAAAGCCGCTCTGTGCAGGGCAGGAGAGGGAATCCGATCCACAGGCCCCCTCCGGGTAACAATGAGGATGCAAAGCGAGACCGAGCATGGCACGCTGTCTGGGGCTCCTAGGAAAGGCAGCGGACTCTCCCTAGGCAGCGGGTCTTCTTACTGCCATATCGGTCCTGCATTGCGCCTCAGCAGAACTGAATCGGTGGCTCCCTTTTGCGACTTTTCAAAATTACCTTTTTGTAACGCCTTCAACCACTGACTTCGGCTCTCTTCATTTGATGCGTACACGTAGAGAAGCCCGTCTTTATAGACAATCTGGAAAGGAAAAGAGTGGGTTCATTGCGATATAATTGCATCCGTGGTTCACTCCGGGGCAACTGCACGTTTTCTGGGGCCCAAAAGAAATATGCTTATGAGTTTGCTTATGAAATATGCATTAGCTCTGGAATTAGATGAACAAAGTCTAGTTCTTTGTATCCTCCACCCCTCAGTTTGTTTTTTCCCAGACACCTCTACACCTGGGAAAACCACGGTGATGACGCATCTGACCCTTGTGACCACTGAGATCCCGGCGGCCCCAGCATGGATGCCCTGGACCACGGAGAATTATGAAAGTACAAAATGTTAGATATCACAGGTGTCTTAGGAATGTTCTGGTCCACCCATCAACCCATTGCATGATGCTCTTTATAGCCCATTGGAAAATGTTTACCTGCTCTACCCTTAAAAATACCTTCAGGGATGAAATGTCCTTTACTTTCGCGATGCTTGTTTTAAATGTTGGAACATTATAATGTCTTCCCCAGATGGTTCTCTAGTTTATTCCATTTTCTTGAGTAAGTGATACAGACCATTTATTAAATATCCACCAGTTTCTGGGCTCTTTCCTAGATACTCTAAGATTTTAGACGTATTCCAACTCTATGAAATATATATGATTATGCCCACTTTGTAAATAAAGAAACAAACTCAGATAGAGGGTTGAATGTGTTGTCTTTGGTAACACAAATATAAGCCAGGGGGTTAGGAGCCCTGTGCGCCTCCGAATCCTGTGTTCTTTTGAGTGTTCCATGCTTCTGTGATGAGAATATGAAGCATCTTCCATGAGCACACACTCCTCTGGTTTCTTCCAAGTGGGCAACGTTCGCCTTTAAAGTAGGAAGTATGGATTGTTCATCGACCAGGTGATTTTATTTCATTTGTGGCCACAGTTCCCCCTAGCCACTAGCCCTGGTAGCCTGACCATCGGAAGGACAGTCCGTCTGCCTTTAGATCAGAAAGTTAAGTATCAATGATATAATAAAACTCAGGCATGACTCAGATCAGGCCACTTCCAAAGGGCACTGGAGGCACACTTTCTGCACCATGCCATTGCTTAAAATACTTCAGGGTAAAATGCAAGCTCCCTAGAATGCTGTGCGAAGCCTTTCATGATATGGCCCTGCTCGCCTTTCCAGGCTCATGCTCTTCATTCGCTCACAGGGCCGGCTTTATTCCTAAGGACTACTTGGAATTCTCCAAACACGCATACTACTTCACCTACAGAGCCTCAACATCTGCTGTTTCTTTTGTTTCACTGCCCTTCTTGTTTTTGCTGGGCTGAGCACTGGTCTTTCTTAACCTGAGGGTCACTTCCAATAGATAATCTCCCTGACCTTTGGGAGTGAGGAGTGAAGCTTCCGCTTCCTGGGCCACCATGGCCCCTCTACAGACCTTCATCTTAACCCTTGCCCTCGCTGTATTCTAATGCTCTGGAAATGCCTTGGGGACAAGAATGGCATTTGCCTCCTTATAGCGTGTCTGACGCTTTGTAACCCCTTGGAAATGCTTAGTAATGTTTGGTGAAAGATTGTGAGGCCCCAGAGCAAGTCAGGCCACCGTGGCTCATCTTTCTTTCTCTCCCTCTAGGGAAAGCAGATGGGTAGATAGAATTTCAGCAAAATGCCCAGCTTCCACCTGGGGACGTGTCAAGCTTTGCCACGGTCTTCGGCATTTTGCAACATCTTTGGTTATTGGCCATATATTGAGTTCATAATCAAAAATAGTCAAACAGAAGCCATCCGCCCAACAAACCGTTGTCCCTGTCCCTCCCCTTACCTGAAACGGGTACTGTCTCTCCACAGGGGTCTGCTCCTCAAGGTTTACTTTCTCCACACATCTGATTTTCTTAATCTCAATTGATCCTTTTCTGCTGCCTCTTTTCTGAATTAAAAGCCAAAATATAAGATGCCTCGTGCAATACACAATGGCACACAAGGTAACGCGTAAAGTGAAGGTTATTCTAGGAGGGAGAGTGAGAGGTGGGGCGGCTCTGTGAGGATTCTTCCAAGTATTCCATCATGGTCAACATCCAATGGCAATAGAATATGTTCTCAAGTGTGGACCCAAGCTCATATACACCTCCATAAGCAAGTCTTCAAGAAGTACTTAATTTTATTGGATAATCTTGAAACATATTTCCAATCCCCTGCCACGTGCTTGCTTAATCTACTTGGGAAAATCAGAATTTAACTCCAGAGAACATCTTAATTTTGTTTCAATTTTAAGACGGTATTTCAGGATTTCTGCTCTGATAGAATTCTCGGCTGTATAGAAATAGTCTTATTTCCAGCAGAGTGTTAGGGAAGTGTTTCTTATCTTCAGCCCTATTTGGGGCCAGATCGTTCTTTGTTGTGAGGGCTGTTCTAGCACATTATAGGATGTTTCGCAGACTTTTTGGCCTCTACCCACTAGATTCCAGGAGCGCAGTACACCCCCTCCATTATGATAACCAAAAATGTCCCCTGGGGGGCCAAATCCCCCTCTGTTGAGGACCACTGTTCTACAGGGTACAATTTGCTTTAGTAAAGTTAGCCAGTATTTTAAAGCCCTTTATCTTGAATTAATCATACCTCGGTGAAGAAAAGACAATGTGATCAGCGAGGGCAAGTTGATCTTTACTGTGTAAGCTAAGAAACGTGACATCGTTTCATTATAATTAAGCACTTTGTGGAGACTCAAGAGAAGTAAATAGGACAAAAACAACGGAATAATTAGGGTCTCACCATTTTGTCATATTCATAGTAGGAGAGATTGGTTTTGGTTAAAACAAAAAGCCTCTCTTTGTAATTACTTGGCGACATTTTCTTTTTTTGCTGTGACCTTTTGAGAAGAAGTTCTTCTAGAATGGATTTTGTGTCCATATCGTCGTCCTAAACAAAACAAAATAAAATAATGAAAATGAGTGCGTGTAGCACTTAGCTACGTTCTCTTTTAGCCTCCAGAATTTTTAGTCAACTATTTCTCAGTCAGGGATAATATAAATAACATGATTTCTACAGCTTAGATTTAGGATTAGAGAAAACATTTTAACCAAGCAGACTCGCACACACACGTATACCTGCCCTTCCTTCCTACTGCGTTGGCTCTGACTTTTATAAATAACGTTGATTTCTTTACAACATTTTATGTTTCGTACTCATCCCATTTTGGCTCATAAACCCACCATCTTTGCAATGCTCTCCGGATCACCTTATCAAAATCCTCCTTATTCCTTACGCATTCGATAGGCATTTGTTGAATCCAATTGGATATGATCACACTTTGGAGTATTTGAACTCCAGACAGCTCACCATGTCTGAAAGTGATTGATCAACAGATTTCTCTCTGTCAGTGTGACTTTGACCAAATTATCCAAACCACTGTGAGACTCTGATAGCATTGAAAGTGCTACCCACAGTTCTGCTCACGATCAGAGCTTTAACATAAAGGACATGGGTAAGATTTTCAGTATTTCTGAGAACAAAACATTTACAAATGCTACAAATGCCGTCAAAATCAACTTTAAAAAGCTGAAGAAACAATTGGTACCTTACAAACGAAAAATACTCTTGCTTTTCCTTCTGAAACCATGGGAAACATTAAATCTTAAGGTATTTCTTAAAAATAAATGCACTCATTTTCTAGTGCTACTACAACTTGCTTCACCCTCAGTGTGATAGCAGATCTGGTAATGGAAAGTAATGCTTAGAAAACAAAGTAATGTTAAGTAGTGGGCCACAAAAGATCAACTTTCTTAAGTTCTTTGTTTTGGGAAATCACCGGATTATTAGCAGTAAGATGTTCAATAATTTCTAACATTCTTTGCGGATAATCTGCACATCATTAACTTTACTCACCTTACATTGATCAGCACGGGTGTGCTTGTGGGTCCTTAACTCCAGCTCTCAAGGTCTAAGCAAAAGGTTACTGTTCTGAGACACAGGAGCTCATATTCCCTCTGGCCATGCCAGGATCATGGATTACAAAGAAGATATTTGCATCCTCTTTATCACCCTCCACCAGGAAGCACCCACAAAGGCACTCCTCTGTGTGGACGGAGGCGGGTGCCAAGTGAACCTGTCCAGTCGTTAAAGGCCCCTTCTCACTGGCCCAGGGCATGATGGACCCGCCATGACAGGGAAGTGGGAAGGGAGACACATTGAATAAACCACTATCAGGTCCAGCCAGCCTCCCTTTTGACATAGACCACACCGCTCTAGAAACGGGACTCAAAAAGTCAGCGTATGTTCATTATTTATACAGACAAAGCATCTATTTATTAACCCTTCAAATGTTCTCCAAGGGCATCGTTTGATTTAGAGGCAGAAGTAATGGAAATCTTATCCATTGGTCACTTTTTGTTTTGAATATTGTTTTATCTGGAAAGAGAAGTGTAATGCCTTTGGGAAAGTAGAATGGGTTTCTTTTGAGCACAGTGAGTGCTATGGTCACTGGTTTCTTGGTCCCCGGATGCAAAGATGAGGCAGAGGTTGGAGGTAGTAAACCCAGCAGGACCTGGGAAGACATGTGTGCCTACCTTTCACCTTTGCCCTCGTTAGAAACTCTACGCATATGCCTGGTCAGATAAGATTTCTTTTCTTTTCTTTTCTTTTCTCTTTTCTTAGAGAGATAGGGAGAGAGAGGGAGAGCACAGGCGGTGGAGAGGCAGAGAGAGAAGGAGAGAGAGAATCCCAGCCTGGCTCCATGCCTAGTGTGGAGCCTGAGACAGAGCTCAAACCCATGACCCCGAGATCATGATCTGAGCCAAAATCAAAAGTCAGATATTGAACCGACTGAGCCACCCAGGCGTTCCCAGATGAGATTATTTTCTCTACCCAGAGTCTATGGCCGGAAGAGATTTGCTTGAAGAGTTACTGAAACTGTGCAGGGTCTAGTGTTTTTGAGTTAATTCCCCTCTTGGAGAGCCGTACCACACACCGGACATAGCTTTAGGGCACGTTTACCTTTTACATTCCTGCACTAAAATTTTACTAACAAAGCATGAAAAAAACTGAAAACGTTTGTCAAACGTCTTTTGTATCCACAGCTAAAACATGACTCCCCAAAGCAGAATGCAAGTTAAATAGATCTGATGAGTTGAATAGAAAGTTTGCTTTTCAAAAAAAAGAGAAAGTTTCCTTTTCAAAACTTTTTCCAATACTGAATGGACTTGTAACATTAAGAGCACTGTTTTCAAAATGCAAATCGCAGCATCCAAGGTATAAGCAGCCTTTCCCAGCTCTGCGTGACGATACACACACTTTTCTGTTTATAGAACTTTTACATTCATCACATTAAAATTGGGGGAAGGGAAATTTTATCTAAAAAATTAATATGGTGAGCCACAAAAATCATTGAGAAGTGAAATTCACAAAACCGCCTTTCAATATTAAAGGGAAGAAGAATGTGAGCTGGAAAGGAAGGTACTTGGACACACTTTCTGATCAATCTCCAAGGCTTTATGCATGTTGTTGCAGCTGAAGCCATATAATTTGTCGAATTGCAACAAAACCAATCATTCCAAAGTCCTGCCTTTTGTGAATTTTTTGGCTTTCATTTCTAAAATCAGAGGTGATATATGTTTATTCTACAAAATTAAGAACTACAAATAAGCAAAGGGGAAAAAAGCCCGTTAACATCTTGGTGAACATACCTCTAGATTTTTTCGAACACATACGTGTCGTATTTATTTTCACAAAAATGAGTTCACGCTCGGTCAGCTAGGTCTGTAATCTGTCGTTCTCATGTAACACATACCTGGAGCCACGTGTCTTTGGAGACCTTCAAAGTTCGACCCGGCGGCAGGCCCCAGAGCTTCCTAACACCCTCGAATGTAATGTTTCCTCCCTGTATTAGTAAGTCAACAGGCTCAGGCACCACTGTTGACTCAAATGCCTGCCCGACAACTAGCAAACCTGGCTCTGCGTACCCATATTTAGGGGAAATTCAGTTGGGAAGGTTCGAAACACTTTCAAAATGAAATGAGAGCCTAAAGTTAGTCAGTATTAGGCAGAGAAATCTATTTCCGTAGAGGGGCCGGTGGAATGTGGCCGAGCTTTCATGTTACCACCTACATGGAACAGATGCATCAATTTGCTTACCAAATAGCCCAGGCTGCCTATTTCCATAAGCGCATGAAGCTAGCAAGAGATTAAAGTGCAAGGGATGCAAAAACAAAACCCAGAACCCAAAAACCTGGCAGAAACCAACACAGTATTTTCTCTAAGGAAGCCAGCAACCATTATGTAACGTCTACATGAATGACCATGACTTGCAAGCACCATGCTTGTTTAACATTTGTAAAGAAACCGTAGCAGGAGAGTGAGGAGTTCAATTCTGCTGGTCTGTCCAGCACACTTGATTTCGAGTCTGCCGCGGGCCGGACATCGAGTGAGTGGTGCCACAAATGGAGATCAGCCCTCCACCACCCGAGAGATAAGGAGCAGACTTGAGAGAGAGGTTTCATAACTGATTAACGTGCCGGGTGGCCGCAGGGTGGTGGACTCAGAAGTCACGAGGAGCTAATAGGACTGTCGTTTGTGTGCTGTGTCACCCCGACCAAGGCCCTACCCTGCCCTAAACTTTAGCTTTCTGATCTGTAAGAGGAGATGGGTCACAGCTCTGTCGCTTTCTGTGGCTTGAATGAGAAAGCTACGGGAAAGTTCTGGGCGCACTAGGGGCACTGAATAATGATTGAAAAAGCAAAAGGTGGAGGGGCGCCTGGGTGACTCTGTGGTTGAGCGTCTGACTTCGGCTCAGGTCAGGATCTCACGTGTCTTGAGTTCAAGCCCCACATCGGGCCCTCTGCTGTCAGCACAGAGCCGACTTTGGATTCTCTGTCCTCCCCTCTCTCTGCCCTTCTCTCTCAAAAATAGATAAACGTTAAAAAAACAAACAAACCCAGAAAAAGGTGGAAAGAAACAGCTCAAGTGATAGAGCAGAGTCCATGTTCTCTTTGCCCTGAAAAGCCTGAGGAAGGAAAGCTGTTTCTTTTTCTCAAGACAATCAAGAAAGACATTATGGAAGGGAGGCATTAGAACCAGACCTTGAAGGATATGAGTGATTGAATCCTAGCTCACAAGAAGGAGAGCTTGCCCTACGCCAGGCACTGTTTAAAGCAGCTTAAAAATATGCATTTGTTTACCCTGTAGAATAGGCCAGACACCTCCATCCTATGGGGTATGTCCTAATTCAGGCCCCCTATGGGCTGGTTAGGAAAAAAGCAAAAAGTGATGAATCCTTGTCCTAAAACTTTATGCGGAACTAGTAACCCATAGCAGCGCTTAGGTGACGCAGGTTGGTGTGCGCAAAAGGACCGAGCTTGTGGGTTCAAATCCCTGCTCCGTCTCTGTGCAACCTGGCCTGTTACTTAACCCTGCTAAACCCCAGCTTCCCCATCTGTAAAGAGACTAAAACAATAACCAAAGGGTTATGAGGAGTCCAGAGAAAATGGCGGTACAATGCCTAGCAGGCTAGTAGATATTCCCAAACTCCATACCCCTTCCCCTCATCACTCCATAGGTAAATTAAAAAAAAAAAAAAAAAAAAAAAAAAACCATAGGAAAGGTTAGACACTGAAGAGAATGAAATGACCCTCAACGGTAAAATTTCGGTTCTCATCTCCCTTCACCAGATCCTGGGAATAGGAGATCATGAGAGGCAGGAACATACCTCGGGTGTTCACTGGTCAGCAAGCACCTGCCCCGTGCGTCTGTTACAAGCCTTCGCCCCTGGGGCTGGTCACCTTAGAATCAAGTTGAACCAACCCCTTACTGACTGTGTATTTGTGCCACTGGGTTTCTCACAAATCAGCACGTGGACGTTACTCCAAACGTGGTCCATGGGCTGGCAGTATCAGCTTCATCCGGGGGGCTTGTTAGAAGTGCAGACTCGCGGTTTCCCCCCACCCCAGACCTAGTGCATCAGAATGTACATTTTAGCAAGATCCCCAGGTGCTTCCTGTGCTCATGAGAATTTGGAAAGCACTGACCGAGACCAGGTTACACTGTACTACTTTTTAATTCCGGTGAAATTCTCACGGTCCACAAGGACTTGCAAAATTGTCTGGCTGTGGTGCAACTGAAAGGTTCACCTCTTCCCATTCTTCCATCTCCATCTAAAATGCCCCCAAGGCCCAGAGTTCGGGAGACCTCGGGAACCTGAGAACAGATATTTGTAGTTCAAGTAACATCATAAAAACACAGACAAATGAAAGAAGGTATGACTACCATTTCTGTCTTTTCGGAAGCAGTTAAGAAGCCAATATGCAAAGTCACAGAAGTGCAATGCGCACAGAGCACTACGGAGAAAGCCACAGAGCTAGCTGGAGCTGACCGTGAAATATACACAACCTGAGAGCCTCCCCCGACGAGAGTTTGAACGAGGGGGGAGTTTATAGTAAATCTACAGCAGGCCTCCAAACCGCGAGGTCTCATCCAAAGTCCCTGGGGGAGTCCTGACAATTTCACATTCATTGTCCTGAACTGATCTGCCTGTAGGATACGACATTGCGTAGGCACCCGCACGAAACGCACCATTTTGGCCGGATCCGCGCCGGGGTCCACCGCGGTGAGGCTAATGTGCTCTTGCAGGAAAACGGCCCGGGCTGCCCTCCTTCCAGCGGCAGCGAATTGTCTCACATTTTCCCGGCTGCTGGGTCAGAAATGGCTACATTACTCAGTGCCCCCAAAGCGTTTATTGTCCTGCGAGGGCCTTACACAATCCCACAGGAAACCACGCTCAGCACTTAGCCAACACTTGTTGATCTGATTGAACGCAACACAAACGGAGACAAAAGCATTTCTCAAAAAGGTTCCAATTTTGATAACTACAGCTCCCGCTTTTCCCAGGCGGCTCCCGGGTACGTGTGATAACCCTGCCTTTGTTTATAGAGCTCTGTGCTGGAAAGGACAAGGAAATGTCTCGGCAAAGCCCCGCTTCTGACGCTGACTTCTCTCCAGAATCAGGAAACCATGGGTAACGCCAAAGTGCACAGAGAAAAAGCAATGAGAACTCTAAGTCGATGCTGGGGAGAGGGGAGGCTGGAGCCCACGAGACAGAGAAAGGACAGTTAATATGACCCAAAAGGAGCACATTTCCGCACCTTAAGTTATTAAGAAATCCAGAAGCGGAAAAGAGCTCGGTTTGGCCAATGGACCACGCACCAAGATTGCAATGAAAAATCGTGATTGTCGTCCGACATCACTGTGACAATACCGCCGCTTTTGGCTTTCCTCATTCCAGCCTTTTCTCTGGGGCACGCCGACTGGTCACATGACATATATCTAGTGGGTTCCTTTAGGCTCTCCTACCAACGGCCGAAAACCTCGCCATCCTTCTGGCATTGCGTTGACAACCGTACTAACTTATACTTGCTTGGCTGCTCTGATTTGGAAACGTCCACGGTATGACGAAATCGTGGGGTGGCAGACGAGAGTGAAGCTGCTGACTTTCAAAGAGGTATTCCTCTGAGTGGACACGGGATTAGTGTCATTGCCGTTCCCTCGTCATTCGGTCGGGTCCTCTTGAGAACCTGGGGTGGGCTCAGAGTTTTGTAAGGGGCTGGGGACAGGGGCACATGGAGCAGAGGCAGCCCACACCTTCAGGGGGAACCCCCAAGTAAAGGTTCAATTACAGCGGAGGGGGTGAAAAATAGTTCGCAAAGGTAGTGCTAATGTTTCTGTTTGAAACTGGAATGGGGGAGGGGCCAAGAGTCCTTCAGAAGAATTCAAAAGAGGGGGGCTTACACGCCGAGAGCATCCCTGATGGGTCCCGAATGGCTCTGCGGGGTGAAGCAGGGTACCCCGTGGCACAGCGACTTGGCCAAACAAATGAATCCCACACTCTGCTAATTGACTTCCTTTCCCACACGGCAACGCGGTAACATGGCAGAAGATCAATTCTGGAATAAAAAGCAAATTTAGGGGAGGGGCAGAGGGAGGTCGTAGAACCCTGGGCGCAATCTCTTCGGACCCCCATCCCCTCTTGGGCCTTTGAAACCCTCTGGGGCAGTTGTAGGGAGTGGTTTCCTCTGAGTCAAATGTTGTGGATTTATTGACTTCTATTCATTCGCTTCCTCTGCCACCTCTCCCAAACCTTTCTTTGGCTTTGTATTTGCCCCTGTCTTTAGTTTAATCCTGACTTGTTGTGGCAACCTGCTGTTTCCTTTAAAAAAAACTCATTTGTGTGTCGTGGCGGTAAACACCGTCTATATGCTCCTGATTCCAAGTTTCAGCATTTGGTGCCTTCCCCTGCTTGGCAAACCGTCACAGACATCTGCCTGGTTCGTTTCCTCATCTCAGGCTCTACTTCGAATGGCATCTTCCTAATGAGTCTTTGTTTAGTTTCGTTTTTTTTTTTTTTAATATTTTTATTTACTTCTAGGAGAGAGAGAGAGAGAGAGACAGCGTGAGCAGGGGAGGGTCAGAGAGAGAGGGAGATACAGACTCTGAAATAGGCTCCAGGCTCTGAGCTGGCAGTCAGCACAGAGCCCGACACGGGGCCCGAACCCACGAACCGCGAGATCATGACCTAAGCGAAAGTCGAAAGTCGGACGCTTAACCGACTAAGCCACCCAGGCGCCCCGTGAGCCTTTGTTTAGTACTACAGCCTCCCTCCACCCGGCACTGTGAATCTCCCTCACTCTGCTCTCCTTTGTCTTTTCCCACAGCACTTAACACCTGCCACACGATTTATTTATTACCTTTAATGTCTGTCTCTCCTCGCTAAAGAGTAAGCCTCCAAGGGCTCCAATAGTGTCTCTCTACAGCCTGAGCTTTCCCCCATGGAATCTCTTCAGTGGGGCTGTCACCCCATCACCTCCTGCATGTACTCCTCTGGTGCTAAACTGATCGGCATGGAGGTTGGGATCCGATGTGAATGGTTTACGCTTACTGGGATGGAAGATTAATGTATCGCCTCTCCCAGAGATGCTTGCCTAGTAAATCTCACCCTCCGTGGTGGAAAAAATAGCCTCAGTCCTTATGAGAGGAGATGGGGGTGGGGCGCCCGGGTGGCTTAGTCGGTTAAGCGTCCGACTTTCGCTTAGGTCATGATCTCGCGGTTCGTGGGTTCGAGCCCCGCGTCGGGCTCTGTGCTGACTGCCAGCTCAGAGCCTGGAGCCTGTTACGGAGTCTGTGACTCCCTCTCTCTCTGACCCTCCCCTGCTCACGCTGTCTCTCTCTCTCCTAGAAATAAATAAAACATTAAAAAAAATTTTTAAAAAAGGAGATGGGGGGTGGAGGTGGACATGAAGAGGCTTGTTGTTTCTTTTTGTTAGGACCTTTCCTGATACCTATGAAATCTTTACATAGCCTGTTGCCATTCTATCAATTTTACTCCCATTTTTCAGGGGAAGGTAAGGTTTTGGGGGCTAAGATGGGGTTGGTAAACTACGACCACCAGCTGCTTTTGTAAGTACAATGCATCGGAACCCAGCCATGACTGTTTGCTGTGTATCGTGCGCAGCTGCTTAGTTGAGTAGTTGCATCAGAGACCATGCGCCTGCGAAGTCTCAGATATTTCCTACCTGGTCTTCGCAGAAAAAAATTGCCAACTCATGCTCTAGAAGAATCTTGCCAGCTGTGGAAGTGACCTAATCGCTTAGCATTAAGTTCAACCGCTCAGTTCAACAGACATTCGCTGAATTGTGTTAGGTACAAGGGGCCAGAGTTGGACGTGAAGAAAGTAGGCGAAGGAGGTATCTTTACGGGACCTTTCCAGCCACGGGTCCCACTTTCATTCAAATTATTTGTCCCAAAATTTTACCATGAGAAATTTCAAAACACAGAAAAGCTAAAAGAATTGTACCACAGACACCCGTACACCACCATCTAGATTCTACAATTACATTTCACTATATTTGCTTTGTCCTAGATCTGTTTATCCATCTCTCTCTCTCCATCCATCAATCTGCCTTACCAGCGTTACAACTGCTACTGCTATCATTCTCGCTGCTGTTATTTTCTGGTGCTTGCAAAGTGAGTTGCATCAGTACACCTCATCCATAAACCTCTCAGCATACATAACATTAGCTAGATTCGAGGTAAATTCAAATTAGCCTTTTATTTTCACCCCAATGCTGGAAACTGAAAAACGGTATCGAGGTAACAGAGGTGAGCGTCAGGGGAATCATTCACTTAAATTTCTCCACTTCCCTGGTTCAGAGATGAACCCTCTCAGGGCCAAGAGCATTTTGCTTGTGATGAATTCTAGGACATTTCTGTGGCTCGAAAGAGAGGGTCATAAGCTGTCCTTTTCCGGAACGCTGCCAAAAACCCATGGGAAAGATGGAAACACAGGGATGAGTTGCATGCAGCGGTTGATCACACGTAGCTTCTGGGTCAGACGCGGTCTGTGGAGATTGTTCTCGCGAGGGTGGAAGTGAGAATCGCATATACTCATCTTTGCTGGATGGATTTGCATGTCCTCAACCGGCAGCACGTTAATGACCTTCATAAACTAATGTTTACAAAACAGTTAGTGTCTGATTTGGAGCCAGTCGATTTCCTGGGTTCAGCGAATCTGAATCCCTAATTTGCAATATTCCAAAGAGGCTTGTCATTGAATGAACAGCCGCTCTCGAGCCCTGGGAGGCAAATTAGCAAAACCTGACCAATCTGCGAGAAAGAATTTCTGAGCTGAGTGCAAGAAGGAGAAAAAAAACCAAACAAACATTGGAAACGATGAAATACATAAGATGTCCATGTATTTCTATACAGTATATCTTGGCGAAGAAAATCAGTAAGTCATACAAAAGAAGAAAATAAAATTTTTTGAGAAAAAAGGTCAAGTAAAATGTGTTGACCACGTGGGTGTCTTTAAAGATTATAACGGTGTTATTTAGAATCACTTAGGGAAGGCTTCCTTCGTTGTCATATCGGCATAGGGTTTTCTTTATGCTTCCCAGGACTCCGAGGGCCATTGATAGCGCAGCTACACACTCACACTTCCAGCTGCCTGGTTGACATCTCCATCTGGATGGCAAATAACAGCAGGGAAAAGAGCGCAAAGCTCTACGTAGAGGGTGACACTTCTCATCTCCAAAATGCCCCCCCCCCCGCTAGTGAAACGTTACATGTCCCTTATTCCATTTGTAAAAATCGGCCCCTCTCTCACCTTTGTTCTTCAGTTTAGGTCCTTCTAGCTTTTTAGCCTTGCTCTTTTCTTCCACAGGGTCCGCGAACCGAGTTTCCTGCCTTGTCTGGATAATGCAAGCCCTTGGGCTTCGTTTCCGCCCATGGCTGACCTCTCAAAGGCCAGCAAAAAGGAAAGCTCTCGCTGCTGGGACAGTTTCGGAGGTGGAGGGCATTCTGAGTCCCAGAGGAAGCTTTGAAAAAGTGATAAACCGAAAACATCCCCCAAAGTATTGCAAATCTACTCCGGAAGTGGATAAAAATGTGCAGGGAAGGCGTTCCCTCCCGCCTGCTTTTATTGCAAAGCTCACCTTGTAAATGCTACTTGAAAGAGAGGAGACTTTCGGGACACCTGACCTCCAGAGGTTACTGCTATGGCTGGTGGCATGCAACTTTTAATCTCTCAGGTCACGTTTAATAATTGCTTTACCTGGGGCGCCTGGGTGGCTCAGTGGGTTAAGCATCCGACTTCAGCTCAGGTCATGATCTCATGGTTCGTGAGTTCGGGCCCTGCATCAGGCTTTCTGCTATCAGCCCAGAACCTGCTTCAGATTCTCTCTATCCCTCTCTCTCTGCCCCTCCTTTGCTCATTTTCTCTCGCTTTCTCTCAAAATAAATAAATAAACTTTAAAAAAATTATTTTTCTTGCTGGATGGCTGGTCACCTTGGTAATAACATTTAAATGGACACATCCACTTTCCAGAAGGGTAAATATTTGTAAGCGTGTTTCTTTAGCCCCAAGAGCTTTGAAAACCCAACTCATCTCTCCTCTCGCATAAAAGTATGTTTTCCAGTTATCTATTCTCACGGAACAAATGACCTGGAAGCTGAGTGGCTTAAACCGCTGTTTTTATTTGCTCACGATTCTGCAGGTCTGGAAGTTGGGAAGGATGCAGTTGGGTGTTCCTGTTTTACCCGCGTGGCATGGGCTTTTCCCGGAAACGTGGTCCCAGAGCCATCGCTCTTCTCACGGGGCAGCTGTTCCCAGAAGGCAGGAAGCAGAAGCCTCCAGACCATTTCAGAGCCACGCCCAGAACCAGCTCAGTGTCCCTTGCACCATATTGCATTGGTCAAAGCGACCACAAGCCCTACCTAGGCTCAGGAGGGAGGAAAGGAAGACCCACCTGTGATGGGGGAGTGATCAAAGTCACACTGCGGAAGGCATGTCTAACGGGATATACCGTTGGAGCTCTCACAGGAAAATAGAATCTTCCAAAAAATGATACACGGTGAGTCGAATCAACAAATGTGTGGCTGTGATTGATGCAGGCTGGCTGAGTCCGAGGACCCAGCGGGGTCCCATTGGACCGGCCAACAAGGTCCCCGGCTGCACGCAGGATGGAAATCAAACACAAGCCAAGAGGAAGTGAGAGCAGAGTTTACAGAAGGCCTAGAGAGAGTACACGTAGAGACCGAGCGGTTGGGAGACTCTGAAAGGAAAGGAGAGATAGTCTCGTCTTTGCTTGGGGTCTGGGGTTCTTATCGAAGACAGTGGTCTGGGGTATGTGTCCCGTCAGGCATGCAGGACCAGGTCAGAACCAGGACTTACGCTCAGGTGGCCTCCATAAGTCACTTGTGCCTTAGAGCCAGGGGTCTTGGCTTCAAAGTGTCTGGGATCGGTGGTCTTGGGAATCGTTCATGATGACCCACCCGGTAACACCTTAGATGTCACCTATCATGCTGGAAGGCTCCAAAGAAATCGTTAACTCCTGGGAGCCCGGCCCAGCAAGATGGCGCTGGCCACATTGCTGCGCCCCTTCTCCAAGCTGCTGGCTGGGGCCAGGCTCCCAGGTGGCTCTACAGCGCAGTGGGGGGCCACCGCAGGACAGACCTGACTGGTCGAGCGTCGGGCCGACCCTGGGCATCTCCATGTTCTTGTGGATCTACCTCATCAAACAACATCATAAAGACGTTTTAGAGTATAAAAGAAGACATGCATTGGAATGAACTACTGAAATACTAAGACAATATGCCTCACGTAGTGATGATACCAGTTCCTTTGGATTCCCCAATCCGTCGAGCTGCGAACGGGAAAGAAAAAGCTATATGTGAATGTATGTCAAGTCAGCATTAATGTTTTGCATCATTGAATGAAAAAAATAGAAATACTTCTGTGTCCTTCAGATTAAAAAAAAAAAAAGAAGAATTAGAAATCGTTAACTCCTTGGCTTTTACGAGGAGGACATATGTGAAGGCACGTGTAAGGCCTGGGTGCAGGTCCTAGCAAAAATAGAAGCATGAAAAGGAAACCTTCAGTTTCCCTGTCTCATATTGATTACCACGTGGAACGTTGCACCCAGACTTGAGGGGAAGGCTTCCCAAAGGGAGGGACATGGAAACTGAGAGCTGAAAGATGAATGGGGATGAGCCAGATCCAGGAGAGAGAAAGTTGCAGACAGAGGCACAGCCCGCCAGCAAGTGGGAGAATGCACATTCCAGAGCCTGAAAGAAGTCAGCATGGCGGAAAGAGGAAGTGCCTATGTGTGTGTGTGCGCGCGTGTGCACGTGCGTGTGTGCCCTTGAGCAAGTGTCCGCATACCGAGGGTGAGGCGGGATTAAAGACATCACAGGGCCTTCTCTTGAGGGCCATGAAGGTTTTAGGCAGTTATTTCATTCCCCTGGGACATGGATGGTGGACCGGCCAGCGGCAAGCCTAAAGGAGGGGAGAGAGGAGTGGCTGTCAGATAGGATGACAATCGTATTTAAGAGATACTAGGAGGGGAATCCACGGGATGTCAAAATGGAAGAGAGATGGGGATAGCTTGAGTTTCAGGTCAGGCAGTTGACCATGTTGAAATTTTTGGTAGCGGGTACAGAAGCATTTAGTAAAGACTGCAAAGAGCCAGACAGAGTCCATACTTCTATTTTATTTGGAGACCGTGTCAGAAGTCAGTATAATGATGATAAGTAATAGTGCTTTATTATTTCATGGTACTTTTAATACTCATATTATCTCAGTTAGCCTTGAATCATAGCAAGGAGGAGAGGAAGGATTTGGGTTCCACTGACATGTAAGGAATCTGGTCTGGGTGGCTCAGTTGGGTAAGCTTCCGACTTGATTCCGGCTCAGGCTGTGATCTCACAGTTCATGAGTTCAAGCCCCACATCAGGCTCTGCACTGATAGTGATACTGCTTGGGATTCTTCCTCTCTCTCTGCCCCTCCTCTGCTTGCACTCTCTGTCTCTCAAAATACATTAAAAAAAAAAAAAAAAAGGAATCCTGGGGAAAGTCCATGTTCCTCTACTAACCTGTTCTTTTAGAGCAGGGGTCTGCAAACTAGGCTTGCAGCCAAGTCTGGCCCACTCACTACTCAGCTTTTATAGCCTGCGAGCAAAGAGCAGTTTTTACATTTTTAAGTAAGTGGTCGAAATTAAAAAAAAATCAAGAGACTGATGTTTCATGACAGGTGAAAATTACATGAAATTCAAATTTCTGTATTGTAGGGGCAAGTCATGTTAAGATGTGCCACTTTGGCATGAAGACGATTGTGAGTTAAAAGAGATCAAAATCCAGCAGATTCAGGAAAAGTGCTTTCCCTCCCCTTCAACTGCCTACATTTACAGTGGAAAGGAGAGCCTGTGTCTGGAAGGGAGCTCTTAACAGAGATTCCTCTTTACCTAAGAGACTGATGTGCATAGCAGGACAGCCTCTGTTTTCCAAACGTCTCCACCCACCTTCCTGCAGATGGTCCCTACCCCTGTCCTGAGCTCAGGAGGCCAGAAAGTCCCACCTTGCCTGTCTTTGGAGTTTCATAGCTGTGTGAATTCCCCGTACTTCCAGAATTAAATGTGATTTTCTCCTGTTAATTTGTCTCCTGTCACCTTGACGCTTAGTCCAGCTAGAAGGACCTTGAAAGGCAGATGAAACCCTTCCTCCCCAACAGTAGCCATAATTGAAGTTTGTTACTGAAACAGCCACACCCGCTTACTTACAGGTTGTCTAGGGGTGGTTTGTTGCTACCCAGGCGACCTTGCAGCAGTCTTCACAGAGACCACAGGTGGCCTGCGAACTGGAAAGCACTTACCATCTGGCCCTTTGCAAAGTTTTCTGGCCCCTGTTTTAGAAGTGCCACTTTCTTTCTTTCTTTTTTTTTTTTAATATTTTTATTTCTAGGAGAGAGAGAGAGAGAGAGAGAGAGAGAGAGAGAGAGAGAGACAGCGTGAGCAGGGGAGAGTCAGAGAGAGAGGGAGACACAGACTCGGAAACAGGCTCCAGGCTCTGAGCTGGCAGTCAGCACAGAGCCCGACGCGGGGCTCGAACCCACGAACCGTGAGATCATGACCTAAGCGAAAGTCGGACGCTTAACCGACTAAGCCACCCAGGCGCCGCATAGAAGTGCCACTTTCTTTCCTTTCTCAAAACCACACAACGGACTTTCTGGAATTTAGAGGACAGAAGGGGCGGCCGTGCCCGCGGCCCTGGTTACCAATCCCAGCGGCGAACTAGATCCGCTCCCCAGCGTCTGCGACTGCCCGCCGCGCGCCCGCGACACGCGCGCTCTTAACCAACTGCCTCCCCGCACCAGTGTGTCTCTTCTTTACGCAGAAACGTGTTGGCTCCTCCGTTCCCGCCCTCACCTCCACCCCCCACTCCCATTCTAAGCGCCAAACAGCAGGCAACATTTATGTAACACACAATTGTGTAGCGCTCAGGGCGTCCCGAGTTCACGGAATCCTCATTACCAGGCTGGTTCCATTACCCCCACCCCCGTTTTACAGTGGAGGAACTGGAGGCCCAGAGAGGCTGAGCCACCTGCCCCCCGTCGCACAGCTGCCAATTGCCAGAGGCGCGACTGGAACCCGTGCAGCCCCGCTCTGCGGGACGCGTGACAAGCGACTCCAGTTAACGACCGGCTTTCTAACGAGGTGGGGGCGGGCCCTTCGCCCAGATGGGAGCACCTGCCCCTGGCGCCTGGAGGGCCGCAGAGGTCGCTGGGTAGTCGGCAGGCCGGGCGGGGGCGGAAGGCGGCGCGGGGGGAGCCCGGAGGCCTGGAGAGACGCGAACGCACCCTCGGCGCCCCGCCCCGCCCCGCCCCGCCCCGCAGACCCCCGCCTCCCGCCCCGCTGCGGCCGCGGGCAGCCGAACGCTGAGTCACGCGGAGGCCGATGGCCCTGCGCCCGCCCCGCCCCGCCCCGCCGCCCGGGGCTCCAGCGGCCGCCGCGTGGGGGTGCTGGGCTCGCCGCGCGGGACCCCGCCTTCCCCCGCCCGCCGCGCTCCCGGCGGAGGCTCCTGGGAGGTGCCCGCGGATGCTGAGACCCGACTCTGACGTTTGGCGAAAGCGGTAGGCGGCGTTCCTTGCTGCCGAGCACTGCGATCCGGTAAGCGCCTCGGCAGCCCAGCCGTTCGCGTGCACAGAATTTACGGGCGGGAGTCTGGAAGGACCTAGAAGCAGTGCCGATCGGTAGAGCCGAAGCCCTTCCTGGTTGCGTGTAGGTATGCGATGACAGTTGTGTATGGCTTTGAGGATTAAGTTCACTTCGGAACCCCCCTGTCCAGCACCCAAGAAGTGTTTATCGATTGCCTGCTCCTGGGGGGACACATTTTGGCTGACTGGGGAGGGGGAGCATTGCGGAGTAGGGGGCTCCGATAGTAGCAGCCTACATTCTTAGAGCGCGGACCACACTCCTTTGAGGTGGGCAGCCTTCTTACCCGTTTCACAGTTGGAAAAACTGAGGAACAGAGAGGTTTAGCAAGTGGCCTCAGGTCACACAGCTGGTACCTGGTGAAGCCCGGATGCAAACCGGCTCTCAGGCTCTAGTCTCTGCATCTTGCTAAAGCATCGCTCTAGGTTTGAGGAGGGATCTTTGAAGGAATGGATTGCGTTTCGCTTGAAGAAGAGTTTTAGAGATTTGGTGGTACCGTCTGCAAGCATTTGAAGTGAAAAGGGGATTGAATATGATTTGTTCTGTGACACTGTTAGGTAGAACTTAGGCCCGCAAAGAGAAAACGCTTTTGAATAATAAAGGCGGGGTGGGGGGGGTATAGATTGGTCCTGAAATACCGGATGCATTGTCAAGGACACCTCCCCTGTAGGTTTCCCGTGCTCTTGAAGACTTCCTGACGAAGCTGGAAGATTTCTTGCCACTAAAGTTGGCCGTGAACTTCGGGGAAAGATGGGTCTTTGAATTTGGTGACCCTCAAGGATCCTTTCAGGGTCAAGGTCTTCGGCATGTTCTGGTGAGGGTCGCAGACCTCACGGATTTCCTTCGTGTTCCCTATGTCACCACATAAATCTTCCTACCTCACTGTAGCAGCTCCCTTGCGGGGCTTGAGAGATTGCAGTGAGATAAAGCGGACGCAGTGCTCATCAGAGGCTAGTGAGGGCCCGGCAGAACTGTCATTGCTAACCCTGGGAAGCGATGGCTGTGGGATTGCATGAGGTAACGATTGCAAATAATTAGTGGGGTGCTGGGAACCTGGTTAGGACTCATACATGTTCACCAACATTATGTTAGATGGCCTAACCCAGGTCTTGTACGGAGCAAGCAGTCGATATATTGTAGCTGTGAATATTTTGGGCAGGTCTGAATTTAGCACCTTTATTTCATAGTCCTTGGATGTGCCCTCCTTTATGATTTGTCTTTCATTTTGTCCCCCCTCTGGCCCTCCCTCCTCTACAGCTTAGCATCGGAACACTCTTTTTAGACTTGGACATGGCATCCTCCAAGAAGGTTACCCTGTCGGTGCTCAGCCGGGAGCAGGCGGAAGGGGTCGGGGCGAGGGTCCGCAGAAGCATCGGCAGACCCGAGGTATGCTGGTTGGGTGGCTGTTTCTGCCTTTTGTAGAAGGCACTGGTGGGACACTGAGGGCTAACTTGGGAAGAGAGGGCCCGGGAGAGCCATGACCTGCCTTGTGGGCCCTTAGGGGCCAGCTCTAAACTTGGAGATTGCGGTCCCCTCCTGGCCCAGCCCCGGCCCAAAGGGGGGGTGTCTCTCTAACATGGGTACAGAGATCATGTGTCCACCCTTGGCCCATCAGCCGTTTCCAGGGATTTGGGTTCATGGAAAAAACCACAGAGTCTGAGACCCGACTCTGTGGGCCTCTCGTGGTAGAGGGGGTGCGTGAAGGCTTCTCTCATAGGAGGTGATTTCAGGTTAGGGAGACATCTTTCAGCATGAGAGAGCAGTTTTACTTGAAAATTACAGAGCACATGGTGACCTGCAGAAAAGAAAATCTTACTTGCACAGAAAGGTAGTGAATGGTGGTTATGGCCCAGGGAATACAGCACTCCGCACCATACTGGATTCCAGAAAGTTTTTTTTTAAATTGAGATTTGATTGACATATGACATTGTATTAGTTTCAGGTGGACAACTTAATGATTTGGTATTTGTTTATATTGCAAAATGATCACCACAATAAGTCTGGTTAACATCAATCACTGTATGTAGTTATAGAACGTTATTTTTCTTGTGATGAGGACTGTCAAGATTTATTCTCTTAGCAACTTTCAAATATGCAACACAGTATTACTTATAGTCACTATGCTGTACATTACATCCCAAGGACTTCTTTATTTTCTAACAGGAAGTTTGTACTTTTTTTAACACCTTGACCTATGTCATCCCCCGCCCCCACCCCTCACCTCTGGCAACAACCACTAATCTGTTCTCTGTCTGCGAGCTCGGTTTATGTATTTATTGTTTGATTTCACACATAAGCGAGATCATATAGCATTTGTCTTTCTCTGGACTTCTTTCATTTAGCATTATACACTCTGGCTCCATCCATGTTGTTGCAAATGGCAAGATTTCATTTTTTATGCCTGAATAATACTCCATCACACACACACATTTTCTTTATCCATTCAGTGGACACTTCGGTTGTTTCCATGTCTTGGCTATTTTAGTTTTCTGTAGGTGAGCACCCAGAAGTGGAATCACTGGATCATACGGTATTCCTAGTTTTAATTTTTTGAGGAACCTCCATCCTGTTTTCCATAGTGGCTGCACCAATTTACATCCCCGCTGACTGTCCACAAGGGCTCCGTTTTCCCCACGCCCTCCCCCATGCTTGTTTTTTCTTGTCTTTTTGATAATAGTCATTCTGACTGGTGTGACGTGATCGCATACTGTGGTTTTGATTTGCATTTCCCTGATGATGAGCGATGTGGAACATCTTGCCCCCCAAATATTTTTGAATAAAGGAAGAAGTATATTAGGGAAATGGATTCTTTTTTTTTTTTTTTCATGAGGTTGGTGTGTTCCTCTTCTTAAAATCGGCTCTAATATTCTCATACTCTTTCTGCCGTTAGCTTCCTCTTCGCCTATGAGTGGGTTTGGGGTCCATCAGACGTTGTTTTCCAATGGGATACACGCAAACAGGATTATTCTGAGGGCTAAGCGCATGGTGGGTGTTGGCGAGATACAGATGGATGCGGTATCATATTCCACCAGACCGCGTCACCGACAGACAGTTGTAAGGAGTTCGGACACCGTTATGTTGGGGGTAGCTAATACTTTAATTACTCCATCTGCCAGAACACATCTGCCAAGGGGTTCTTAATGTCACCCCCTGTGGGGGGGCTGGTACAGCCTCCAAGTTCTGGCCCAGAATAATATTTTGTCAATACACGCAACACAAGGCATAGGATTGCAGAGGAAAACTCATTGAAATCTGGTTAGCACAATACTGTAAAACAGATATGTGATTTAGGAAATTTGCATTAAATAATAAGACTCGGAGGCACTCCCTAGAACTCCCTAATTTCAAAGCTGTGAGGCGCATGAAAATAATAGTTCAGTACACCTGCGACAGCTGTCATGTGCTGTGAACACAGCTTTGATTTCCAGTGGTGACAGGGTCACAGGTCCTGGTAATTTACTGTGAATCTGTGACCGTCTTCATGATCAAAGCATTTCAGCCTGGAGTTGACTGCTGGTGACTTTTGCCTCCTAGTGTGAATGCAGTTAATGGCACTGAACCGTATACTTAAAAATAGTCAAAATGGCAAATTTTGTTACAGGTATTTGACTACAAAAAAAAAAAAAAAATCCAGAAGAAAAGTTTTCAGTCAGAGGTTAATAAAAATAAAGATGTAATTTTTCCCCCCAGCCAAGTGGGTAGCCACCCTGAATTCTATCCATGGTACCCAGTTAAGAGTCCCTCGCTTGAAACCTACGCTTTAAAGATCCCCACATTCTGGGGCACCTGGGTGGCTCAGTCGGTTGAGCGTCCGACTTCAGCTCGGGTCATGATCTCACAGTTTCGAGCCCCGTGTCCGGATCTGTGCCGACAGCTCAGAGCCTGGAGCCTGTTTCAGATTCTGTGTCTCCCTCTCTCTCTGCCCCTCCCCCACTTGTTCTCCTTCTCTCTCTGTCTCTCTCAAAAATAAATAAACATTAAAAAAAAAGTTAAAGACCCCCACATTCTACTAATTCAGAGGGTCTGCCATGTATGCCTCTACCCTTAGGAAAAGTTAAGTGGCTGGGAGTCACTCCTAATGCCATCACCCTGGTTTAATCACTATTAAGACAGAGCGTGTTTCCTTTTGTCTCCATATAGTTGTAGATTTTACATCATGGGGAGTATACAAAATAAACGATTTTGTGTCCTTATTTTTTCGTTTAACGCAGTTCTATGAGCACTTGCCACATTGTTAGCAGTTCTTCCCGAGCATCACTGAGGTAGCCATGACCTGTTCCAGTGAATGGCGTACCTCTGTTCTCTTCCTCATGGGCCTCCTTCTGGCCATTTAGACTGTCACCATACTCTCCAGTCGGCAGAGAAGGAAAACACCAATCTAGTGTCAAGGTAGTTACTTTTCAAACTTTTTGCACCAAGACTTTGTCTCTGAAGAAACACCTCCCACACTTTGGAGCACAAAGCTATCTTAGTGTAGAATTTACAACAGTGTTTTGTATTAGTGGCCCCAAGTGACATGTTTCCCGTGGCTGTAAATGTGGAGGTAGAGGAATTTACAAAGCTGTCATGGAGCCTCTGAGTGGTGAACAGTAAAGAAGAGATGGAGTGGGGTTGGCTCGTGCCTTTCGTTATGATTGAATGTGGGCCATGCTGGAATTTGAGTGGTGGCACAGCATGACATTAGTGACTCGTTTTCTCTTCCAACAGAAGGGAAGCCCACTACTCCTTTGCACTTGGCCTCAATGCTCCATACTCCCTTCCACCAGACCTTCCTTGGTGGAGTGCGATTTTCCTTGGACCAGTCTTATACATATTTTCTTATTATGAAGAATTCCTAACATAGAAGGGAAAATAGTATAATCAGTCTCCATGTACCCATCACCTACAGTGATCAACTCATGGGCATTCTTGTTTCCTCTATATCCCCCATCCATTTCTTCACTCAAAGTATTTTAAAAGTGAATCATTTGTATTTTACTTATAAATATTTCTGTTGGTATCTGTAAGAGGTAAGAGCTTTAATAAATAAAACTATAATCCCATCATACACTTAAGAATGATAAGAGTCCCTTAATATCATCAAATAACTTTGACTGGTCTTGGTCCTGATTGATACAGCCTCTGTAGATGGCGCTCTCCATCATCAGCATCTTTAGATGTGGAGTCAAGGTAGGGAGCATACAGTCATAGCTCAAGTCCATTCAAGGCCAAATCTGGATCTCAGTGTGGACTATATGCTGGCAACTTCCTTCTACCTTTTCGTCATTACCCTCCAGCCCCTGTCTAGAGGTTGAGTAGGCCCAGGAGGTAGTCTGAGCTATTGGAGTTTATCTTTGACAGGGCCTTTCCCTTCTGCTGCTGCCATATTGCCTTGATATAGGCTGGCATTTCATTGAGTGTTGGGAGGGTGGGGTCTCTGCTGGTTCTGGGCTGCTGCCACAGGCATTACTACCCTTGTATCAGGATTAGGTTCAACTGTACAGTAGCTATAAAGTGGCCTCTAAAACCAATGGTTTACGTATGTACGGATGTGTGTTTCTCTTTTGAAAACCCAAGAGTAGGCAGTCTAGGGTGGGCCTGCAGGCTTCCCACTTTCTAGAGACCCATGCTCATTCCATAGTCGTTCATCATTTTAGTACCCTTAATGCATCACCTTATGGTCCAAGACCGCTGTTGAGGCAACAGTAACCATTTGCCCTTGGATGCAGAGGGGGATGAGGGGAAAGGGCAGAAGGATCGGCGCCAGCCCTCCATTCCTTTTTTTTTTTTTTTTTTTTTAAAGGATTTCCCCAGAAGGCCCACCCAGCAACTTCTATGTACCTCTCATTAGCCAGACTCAGTCATGTGACCACACCTAGCTGTAAGGGTGATGAGGGACCGAACACAAGTACCACTTGGGATGTTTGTTGTACCTTCTCTGCGCAGAGGATTATTCTGGATTCAATAGAGCATTGTAAAAGAGCATGATATTGGCCCTGTCCCCAAGGAGCCAACATGCCTCGTAGCTTTGTCCGTTGCTTCCTGACTTAAGTGAAATGCCAGGCAGCTGAAGCTTTATTAAGGGAGTGCCACAGACTTGAGGGGTGGTGGCCACAGGTTTTGACTGGCCTTCTCAAGAGATCAAAAGAAATGACTTGGAAGCCATCACCCGGATTTGGCAGCTAAAGGACTGGGAACTGTGTGAAGGCAAGGAGAATCTCATATGGTTCACAAAGTTTGAAAAGATTGCCGGCTTAATATGTGGAGATAGACAGATGTGGATGAGTTGGTGACCAAGTGAAAACATCGAAAATCCGAGTTCTCCTATCAATCAGATCCTGCCTACAGATAACAAGTTTCTTTCACATGCCCTTGAATACTTGCTACGTGTTTAGAGACTGTCAGGAGCTTTGTTAAGGCCTAATACCCAGCCCTGCGAATCACACTTTAGTACAGTAGTCTAACGCAAGATACTCTCGCTGTTGGAGGAAGGGGTCTCACACCTGGGCCCCATCCTTTGGCCATAAACAGTAAGGAAACTTTTCTTGATTTATTTAACAGCAGGACACATTTGCTCATGTGAAACTCTACTTTTTCTTTACAGTCTTCTCTCTTTTGTGCGTGTTGCAATGTTTTTACTTTTCTGTTGAACTATATTTGGTATTCTCTCAGTTTCAGGTGTACCACATAGTGATTCGATACTCATCTACTTACGAAGCACTCACCGCCATAGTCCGGTCTCCATCTGTCAGCGTACAGAGCTGTTACAGTGTGAGGGGCCATAGTCCCTCTGCTGTCCTGTGCATCCCCGTGACTCCTTGATTTTCTAACTGGAAATTTGTAGTTCTTAATCCCCTTCACCTATTTCTTGGATACCAACCTGTTTGATACCAAGAAGCCAGAAATATCCATCTCATCTTTACCCACATTTTAATCCCATAGAGCCCTGACAGTGTGGAGCTAAAAAGCCACCTGAACCCTTTCTTTGGCACGGGGGAAAGTTGTGACGCAGAAATGTGTGGGCGCAGACCCCACCCATCCATGGCAAACTCGCGGCCCTTAAGGGTGTTGGGGGCCAGGGGCTCTGCGTGCATTGTTTTCCAGCCCTTCAAGCCGCGCGTTATCCTGTGACAGGAAAGAGAAGTAATAAGAATTTTCACCGCCCCCCCCCAGCCCCAGTTCCGTTCATGGGCTTTCGCTGAGCCGAAGTGGAGTTGGGAGACTGAAAAGGTCCAAGAGCGATTGTCCCTGGAAGGGGCGGAGAGTTACTGGTGGAACAGAGAGGCCATTCAGAAGGCGAGAGCGGGGAGGAGGAGAGGGGCGGGCGGTCTCCGGAGGGGGTGAGGAGGTGCGAGGAGTCGAGTGAGAGATGGAAATATTGGGAACTTGCTGGAGAGCGGTAAGGGCGGTTTGAAATGGACTGTTGCGCTAAAGCGCCCTCTTCGGTGTTTGGGAGAGAAATCCAGAAATGTTTTGCTCTTCCCTTACCTTTTAATATTTCACTGCGTGGGACGCTGGACTGAGATGGGCTGCCAAGTGGCCCGGCTTTTCTAAAGTGAAGAAAGCAAGACTTGGTTAGATGAAAAACTTGCAGTAGGTTGTTGAATTTATGGTATGTGCGCAATATCTGCGTGCGTGTTTCCCGTAGAAAGTGGAAAGAAGAGAGTCCAAACCAGAGACAGGGACAAAGAGCTGGTCTGGCACTCTCTATTCTAGCAATATGACAGAGTAGATACCCCGAAACAAACAAACAAGTAACTTTAAAATGTAGTTAGCTGACAGGAAGCTGGAGCAATTCTTAGAGTCCAAAAACAAGAGAAAGAAAGAAAGTCTGAATAGTTTCATAGCCATCCATTAGGGTAATGGAGTCAGTATTCTCTTCTCTTCTCTTCTCTTCTCTTCTCTTCTCTTCTCTTCTCTTCTCTTCTCTTCTCTTCTCTTCTCTTCTCATTGTAAAAGTCTATCACAAAGACAACAGGTCCAGGTGATCTTACAGACAAATCTCACTCAGTATTTCAGCTACATGTAACTCCAGTAACACAACCTCTCCACCTCCAGGAGATGAAGCCCCAAGGAGACCTCACATCGCTTTAGGAAACGACGTTGCCTTGAAGTCAAGACCAGACAAGGACAGCAGAGTGAAAGGATAATTACATCTTATTTATAAACATTTTTGCAAGAGTCCTAAGCAAAATATTAGCCACGCAAATACAGCGGTGTATAAAAAAGACAATATATCACAACAAACTTTGGATTGTCCGAACACAGCAAATTTGGTTTAATGTTGGAAAATCTATTTAAGTAATTTTACCAACATTAAGAGATTAAAGGCGAGAAAAATTATCTCAGTGCAGAAAAAGCATTCAGTGAAGTTCAACGTCTGTGTAGGTTTAAAAAATTAGCAAACAAGAAATGGAAGGGGAATTCTTTCACCCTATGGAGGAAATCTGCAGAAAACGTGCATTAAACAACCTGCGTGCCAGGAAATCTTGTAAAAGCAATCTGTGTAAAATCAGGAAGAAAACAAGATTGTCTCCTCACTGGCATTTCTACTCAGCATTGTAGACATGCGAGCTTGCAAAAGCACAAGGAAAAGAAATAGGAAGGGTAAGGATTGAACACGAAAGGGCAAGAACCCAGTTATTTGCTGACGGGTGTTGGTTGGAATATAACTACCGAACGTTCAGTGCCCCCCGTAATGGGATTACCCACTCCCAACCCTCTTTTTAGGTGCATTCCCCGTGAGTCCCTCCTCCTGCCTTGGGCTCGGCCATGTCGCATGCTGTGACCTGGGACGTGTCCACGTGCTTGTGCACTATTGGCTTGGCTCCCATGTGCTCCTGTCCTTGTCAGTGAGAACAGCATGTCCTAGAGAGTGGCCACTGTTTCAGCTTGGGATGTAGAAGAAGAAGCCACGTAGAGAGACCAGGCAAGCCTAGCAAAACCCAGAGAAACTGCAGCCACAGCTTTACTCCGATGCAAGCAAAAAAGACTTTGTGAACGGCCGGGCAAAAGCTTATCGATAAATACACTGGCAATCTGAAATGGCTGCAAAGAGAACCCCAAAGAAGCTACAGAGAGATTATTAAAACTCATATGAGCTTAGCAGTATTCTCTGCTCTTTTACCTGGAATGTTCCTCCTCCTCCCCTTGTACTTCATTAACCCCTCCATGTACTTGAGGACCCAGGTCAAGTGCCACCTCCCGAAAGCACCTTCCCTGATCCTTCCCCTCCCCTTGTGCTTGACTGTTTAGATCTTAGATGATCATGAAACGTTTATCCTCTCTTTGTCCCTCGTATAAAATCGGCCCTTAATCAGTCTGTGTGTTCGAGTGCGCGTGTGTGTGCGGGCGTGTGTAAGGCATTCTTTCCTGAGAGTAATTTTCATTTCACATTTCTCATCAGCTATGTTGTTTTCAGTGCGTTTTGCTAGATCTGTCCATGAAGATAGCCGCCGGTAGTGTGGTTTAAAAGACATGTCTAATCTGCTGGATTTAATTTTTATTTCAGTTGAAAAATCTGGATCCATTCTTACTGTTTGATGAATTTAAAGGAGGTAGACCAGGTGGATTTCCTGATCACCCACATCGAGGTTTTGAAACAGTAAGTAAAATAATTTGACTGCAAAAGTGTGTATTTTTAAATTTGCTTCTGTAATTAAATTTAGTGATCACTTCTAATAGAATATTCATAGTTAGAAACAACGAATAATAGTTAAATTAATTCCTAAGTTCTTTGCTATAGACTGGCTACTATGGGAAAGCCACATCCTTTACATGAAGTACATTCAAATGTAAATATTTGCTGTCTTTCATGTTCTTTGAATTTGTGCCACTGGAGACATTTTTATTTGAGCACTTAATAAAGAGCAAGAATTGGCTTCTTCAAATATTTATGTAATTAAAATAATTTGTGAGAGATAGAAGAAACCATTTAAGGTGTGATTGAAATAATTTTATGTAGGAAACGTGTTTCTCTTCAAGAATATTCAGAAATGTCTAATCTCATGTAATATTTAAAACTCCAAAGACAATCCAAGACACTATTAGTATTTCAGTTCAGTTCTAAGGAATTCTCGAATCAAGGGGCTGAAATAGAACGTAGCCTAAAACTTAGGGTTTTAAGGTCATAGTTACATGTTTACAAATTTAATTGTACGATTTATAGAGACTGTGCTGAACACTTGTTTTCAGTTTTAGTTAAAGAGACAGAAACGTGTAATGCAATGTGGTGGCATTTTAAAATATTCCCATTCCCTACATGTACGTATGTTTTGGGAAAATGCAGGGACAGTTACCAAGAAAATGTAGCCCATCTGCTCTTTGAGAAGAACCTGTATTAGAAACAGACCAGGGCTCACTTGTGTTCGTCAAAGCCAATTATTGAATGAGTAAATACTAAAGACTGGTGCCATGCCAACGTTGGTGTCGGGCAATCCTTTCTAGGTTAGATGTGTGTGTTTGTTGTGTTGGGGAGTGTGGGTGGTGGGCCGAGGGAGGGAGGGAGGCTAAATTGGTCCCTGCTGGCCTCCAGTTAGCGTTCTGGTTAAGGAGGTGAAAGATGGACCACTAAAGAGTTAACCAGTGCTACGTAAAAGCTGAGTAAACCAAGAAGATTCTGGAAACAATATGAAGGATCAAGGTAGTTGGACCAGTTTCTGCTCCCCACTAGCCGTTGGCCTTTCACTTCTCTTCTCTGTTGGCACTTCGGGGGCATTGTGTCTTGCCTTACCACAGTAATGGAAGCCATTCCTTTCACTTACCTACACCCCATGCTGGATTCTGACCCGGTTTTCAGAACACATGTCTCCACTGTGCTCCTCTGCTTTTGGTACCAGGACATTCTCACCACACCGTCGCACAGCTCCAGTTACCATGGTACCAATCCCTCAAGGTCTTTTCAGATGTCACTGTCTCCTTCAGCTTTTATCATACAATCCCCAGAGGGTACACTCTCCTTTGTTTGGTCCCCACAGCATTCTATTTTTACTAGTCTCGGGCACATTAGACCTCTACGGTGGCCTCAGTCATATTCTGTCCGTCGTGTATTGGAGTTAGGAACTGCCTCAACCTCCCCTCCTGTGGCCACGGGGACTGTACATGAGATAATCCCACACCTCTCCATGTTCTGCAGGTGGAAAGAGATATTCAGTCACTACTGGCTGAATTTAATTGGATGATAGAGTTTTTTGCTAACGCGGTGAATGTAGTAAGTAAAATGAATGATGACACACACTGCTTTCCATAATGGAAAGGAAACTTAATTTCCTTTACAAATCGCCATTTATAAATTGTGAGGAAAGAGTTCAGCTATTGAATATTGGGATTTGGCCCTTTGCTTTTGAGTAAGAATTTTCCCTAAAACCGGAGTTATAATTGCAGCCATTACTTATTATTTGTGCATTCTGTACTCACGAATTCACCTACCCACTAAAATTTATTTGTAAGCGCAAATCGGTGCTTGCGGCGCGTGCGCTGTCACTCGCGGGCATGCGCAGAGCAGCGCGGTGCGAGCATTCCCAGCTGAGGATCAGCAAGGCCGCCCTGGCTTCTTGTTTCAGCTCTGGGACTGGAAACAGGTGTCCTTAAGGCCTCCGCAGTGCCACATTTTTCACAGTTTTGTACTTTTTGTTGGGGACTTCGCGTTTTAAAATAGCCCCCAAGCAGAGTGCTGAAGTGCTGTCTAACGTTCCTGAGTACAAGACGGCTCTGAGGGCCTTTCGGAGAAAGAAAGTGTGTTGGATTGTTTCCTTCAGGGATGAGCCGGACTCACAGCTGCTGGCTATGGGTTCAGTGTTAACGAATCAAGTATATATTAAAAAATGAGGTGTCTTTAAACAGAAGCATACATAAAACAAGGTTATATGCTGATTGGTTGATGAAAATGTTGTGGTTAGAGGCTCAAAGGGACTAGACCCTGTATTTGCCCAAGAGCAGTGGTTCAGTGTTCATGAGTCCGATGATCATGGCAACTTTATAGAACATGACTACCTGGGATAACCAGAATCAACTGTATCGGTTTTTCCCAGGCGTGTAGGCAAGGCAGGGGTTCCTCTGTCTCTTCGTGTGAACGTTAAAAATCTGCAGTTCAAAGCCAGGCCCACTGCTAGGCTCTCCTCATCTCTTCCCTGCGCTTTCTACCGGCGTGGTATAAATTCGCAAGGGCTAAGTAGTGGGAAGAACAGAATTAGGAGGATGCTTGGGTGGCTCAGTCGGTTGAGTGTCCGACTCGATTGCAGCTCGGTCGGGTTATGATCCTAGGATCACGGGATCGGGCCCCACGTTGGGCTCCGAACTAAGTGTGGAGCCTGCTTGGGATTCTCTCTCCTCCCCGCCCCTGCCCTTCTCTATCTCTCTCTTTCTCTCAAGAAACTAAACAACAACAACCAAAACAGAGCCAGAATCATTTGTTATGTTGTCTTATTGTCCAGAAGTACATTCCATCGTTGTTTGGGTGAATTTCCTTCTAATATATTTTTTCTGGTATCATGCTGTTTTCTGTCTTGTTTTTTTTTTTTTTTTTTTCATTTAACATTATCAGCTTAGCATTTTCCCAGTATTCAAAACACGAATTTTCAGTGGCTTCATTAGGCACCTGCCATGGAGGTTTTTACCAATTGACATTAGCACGGCAGCGTGTGAGGGTGCCTGCCTTCCCTCAGCGACTCCAATATCCCAGACTGGTCCCGCTGCTCTTGGTCTTGGCTGTTTTGATACGTGAAAGAGAATACCTCAGCATAGTTTTAATTTTCACTTCTCCTATCTGAGTGGGGTGGACTGTGTTTTCATTTTTAAATATTTGTTTACCTTACATATTTATATCCTTGGCCTGTTTTTTTTCTGTTGGGCTGCCGGTATCCTTACTGTGTTAGAGGAGCTGCTTCTCTACCAAGAAAATCAGGCCGTTTTCAGGATACGAGTTGCAGTAGTGTTAAGAGGGATCAGGCTTATTTTGCACACCCCCAAAGGTAAACCTTTGGATATGAAGCGTAGATACAAATCAATAAAAGGAAAAAAAAACCCAAATCAATAAAAGGAAGAACTTTCTAATAATATATATATTATATGCATTTATTATATATTATATACTTATTGTATTATAATGTATTTGTATATTATATATTTATCATATTATATGTCTATCACATATTATAATATGTCATATATTATAATATATAAAATATGTATCTATCACATATAAATATACCTATCGTATATCATATATAATATACCTATCGTATATCATATATAATATACCTATCGTATATCATATATAATATACCTATCATATGTTATATAATGTATAATAATATATACATAAAATATAGAATAGACTTCCTGAATCAAAGTGATTTTCTTACGCCTGGAGAAATGCAAGCACTCACTGATGTTAACATAATGGGTGTGTTTCCATGATCAGTGGCCCTCAGAACAGGCTGCAGGCCACAAGAGTCAGTGCTGTGCTGACTTCCATTAATTTTTTAAAATAAAAATGAAATTATGCTGTACTAACCCATGAAGATAAAACCTAAATAAGTACATGCATTATGAGTGCATGCTCACATTTTTCTTTAGCTCATAGTGATAGGTGATCAAAGAAACGTGGAGAATATTATTGTACAAAATTCTGATCACCTGCCATGGGACTCAGGCAGCAGCAACCGTGGCGTCACCTGGAGGGTCGGGCCCCCTAATGTGTATTTCAGCCCGGAGGGGCCAGTGTGTACATTAAGATTGGAGAGGCACCTGTCTAGATGATCTTCCAAACCGGAAGTACTATAATTCTACAAGACGAGAGTGAGGACCCGATTGTATGGAGTTTGAGTGGTGGTTGTTGTTTTACCTTAATGGTTTGCGTAACTGTATATTTTCTGTTAAAAATTTGCCTGAGAATTGAGGAAGAAGGAATGCCCCAGAAGGGGGCACTGCTGATGATCACAAGGCAAAGGGGGACATGCAGTCAGTATTTCCTGCCAGGAACTGGGCCTCTGGGGTGCCTTGTTTTCAAAAGGCCTGAGTGGCAAAGGGTGGAATCGTTTTGTATTTACCTATTTCTTGTCAGGCCTGATATCTTGAGTTGCTTAGGGCAACTATGAATGATCAGAAATAGAACCGACTGGGAAACCATGCCTGCTAAGGCTTAGCTTAGTTCAAAAAAGAAGCAGAGAAAGAAGCACTTCGAGTTCAGCATGCTGTCGATGAACCCTTCACCTGTTCTGAGAAGCGTGTTTTATGCTTTTCAAAATGATCGTTGAAATGATAGCTTCGGGGCCTCCTTGAGTTTAGCACTCAGAGTTCCCGGTCACTCCTCCTTGGTTGCATTCAAGAACAGTCAGGGGTAAATCATCATGCTTCAGGGACATTTAAGGATGATAGTGTCTCTTATGTTTTTAGTTGGGCTTAGAAGTGTTTTTTCCCCCCCGAGTTTTTCACTACAAGCCTCAGCAGGTTCTTTGACTTTGTTCAGGAGAACAAACCTGTCCTGTTTCCAAGGGTGTGCCCATCAGAAAAGCCACACTCGTGTTTCCTGGACGGCGGCCAGCGGCCTTTGCATGCATTGCCCGCACAATGTCCTGGCCGGGAAAGGAAGGGTCCTGGTGATTC